GGGGGGCAGAAAGGGAACAGTGGGAGGAGGCCGGGCAGCAGAGGGGATGGGGGGAGGACGGAGGCAGCTGAGAATCTGAGAGGAAGACAAAGATGGGGGGGGGCAAGGTGAGGATGAGTGAGGGCGGTGAGCTTGAAGGAGTTCTGTGGCTGCCCACTCACTGCCCAGGAGTCGGGCTGTGGCCCCCAGAGCCGGCGTGGGAGGAACGGGGTGCCCCAGCGAGCATGGCGACAGCGTCCCAGCACGCAGAGCGCGGTGTGCATGCTTCCCCTTCCCCACACAGACAAACACAGACACTTACAGACACTCACAGACACTTACAGACACAGTTTGAGCCGCTTACCTTCAGGCTGGGCGTCTGCGTCTGGTCCACAGTGAACCTCATTAAGATGGTGAACTGGAGATCATTGGGAAAAGACTCTCTGAAACAAACAAACAAACAAACAAAACACGACATTGTTTTCCTCCATGCAAAAGAATCAATAAGCACAATGATAATAAAAAGAAAAAAAAGTCACAGTCGTTTTCAGATGTTGAGCCAAACTCATCTGGATCCAAAACGCAAAGAAAAGTCTAACGAGTTCAAGTGATAAGTTGAATCTGATTGGACTTTTTGTGCCCTTTTTGTGTCCCTGCCACAGTGTGCTGCAGGGAGGAAGACCTCACACGTGTGTCACATTATGCACACGCTCTAAATTTAGAGCCGGCTAACTTCATCAGGTGCAAGCTGCCTTCCTGACCTCAGCCTGGTCAGATTCAGCGGGTTCAGCCTGTGCTCGGTTACCACCTAAATATGATATCAACTACAAAATACAACATAAACAAAAAGGGAAAAGCAGAGGGTGAATAGCTGACCTGGTGACGTCCAGAGCTCTCTGAACTTTGGCCTGAACGGAGCCCAGCAGGTCTGCTCCCATCTTCTTCAGCAGCTGAGTCAGCAGCACGTAGAGCCAGTCCTGCAGGTCGTCCTTATGCACCTGGATGAAGTCCACCAGGGTCTCCAGGAACATACTGAACACCTGAACACACACAGTCAGAGCGGTTACGCACAGCAGCGAAGCGGCTTCCTCACAAAGAGCTTCATGCAGCCACACACTCACACAAAAACGCATGCAATCAACAAACTCTTTGTCATTTGGCTGTTTCACTGCATTCAGATCGGGGATTAGGTAAGAACAGCATCGGCTCACATTGTGAAGTTAGTGGTGATTTGTTACTGTAGCAGCCCAGCCTCATTCCCAATCACCAGTTAGACTTAAATCACACAAAAATTGACACGATATCAAGATTAGAAAGCATCCACAACGAGGCATTAACTGGATCCGAAGGACCCGGTCAGACTGTGGGGCTACGGGCGACCTCACATGAGGCGGGTTAGTGCGTGTTATTCAGTTCGTTTGGCAGCCGAGTAACCGATCAGATTAATGAAGCAGATTTCCATCCAAACAGTTCATTACACAATAACACCGATTAGCCAAACTTACTCTCTACAGAGAGTTCCAGAGTGGGGAGGCATGGAGGGAGAGAAAAACACATCTGTTAGCATCCTCGTAAAGCTGGAACTCGGTGTGTTCGAGACCAGCCGTCCATCTGACTTCCACAACAATATCAACAAAAGTAATCTTAACATACTATATTCAACTAAGAAATCTGACGGTGCCTTGAGCACAGCGTTAAAGGAACTGAAATCAACAAGATGGGACAAAAGAAAGGAGGGATGAGAGTAGGAAGGTGGGAGCAGGAGAGAGATCCATGGTGAAAGGTGGTACCTTGAAGGAGGCTGAGCTTATACCGGATTCTGCCGAGCCGTACACCCTGCCGGAGTCTCGCTGAAATTCATCAGATCATCAAACATCAAACGAGGTGACGTGGGGGGGAGCTCACACACCTCACACCACGTGTGAGCCAAAGGAGTGCCGAAAGACGAGGGGCAGTGTTAGAGAGGGGGGCGAGCCACAGCTGGTTAGACAGGGAGGAGCTGGCAGCCCAAAGGTCTGAGTGAGAGCTTCTGAGAGCATCTCTGAGCGGGCGCTCTTTGGTGGGGGGGGGGGGGGGGGGGGGGAAGGGGGGCCGGGGGGGGGGGGGCGGGGGGGGGGGGGGGGGGGGGTGAAGGGAAAGAGCAGCCGAGACGGCCCGACCGCTAACGGAGACCGAGCAGTCCCACACGGGGGCAAAGTGTGTGAGGTCGCACGCCAAGTCCAGAGTGGCATGCAGTTAGGAAACAGTGCCACGCACTCCGCATGCCTGTGTCTGAGAATGCATTTTTACCCGTTTTTCCCATCTTATCTCCCAGCTTTATTCGAATGAGGCTACATCTGCTAACTGTCTTTGGCAGAGCAGGTGTGTGTGTGTGTGTGTGTGTTAGGGGTGTCCAGATGGCGTCCCTGATTTGGCAGAATCCGGTACAGTGAAGGATGGTGAGGTAAAAAAAAAAAAAGGGACTGAAACCAGGGTAAAATCAAAGTGGGTGAAAATTAATTCTGCTCCACGCTGACGTGTGGCGTCTGAGTCCTGTGCCTCATGCATCCCTTACCTTACTGTGAGGGTCTGCAAACATCCGGGTGAAGATCTCACAGAGCCGCTTTAACTCCACCCGGCTGCGGAACAAACAGCCAGATGAGAACCGGACGCCACGTTTGCGTTTCAGAGCCGCCCGGGCGCGGTGGGACTGACCTGAGGGTGCGCTGGTTCTTGAGCAGCGCCTGCAGACCCAGTAGACCCTCTTTCCTCTCAGACCAGTTGGCACTAGCACAGCGGTTCAGCACCTGAAAATAACCACAAACATCACATATCCATATCACTCCCGGTGGCTCAAAGACCTCATGTTTTTCCTAATACTTGAGAAAATTAAATACACGTTGAGAGGATGTCCCATCACATTTTTCCACAACCCTTTATTTCCTAATTCTCTAAGCTGTAGCTTTTTATTTTGCATAAGTAACTATATGCGCGTTGATGGTGTTGAGCTGGGTGTGGCTGTTTTTTTTTGTTTGTTCTTCTTTCTCTTTTACTTATTGTTTCTATGTGTATATGTGACCCTGTACATATATGTAAAAAATAAAATAAATAAAATAAGACGAAAAAGTAAACTTAATTTCTGTGACGGGAATTATTGTATTGTGTTTTTCCCAATAAAAGTATTTTGGAAAAAAAAAAGAAAACCACAAACATGCGATCCAAACCAAACAAAAAGCCCAATTACGACTTTTTCATGCGTGACAGAGAAGCAGTGGGCTGAAACATTTTTTAGATAGATTTAATTGCCATTAATGGCATTGCTAGTTCCCTCAAGTCCCCATAATTAAGCCTCAGCTGCTGTCGGGGAAATAACAATCTCTCTCCTAATTAACTCATTGGCTGCCAAAGACGTCTTTAGACGTCTTTTATGTGTTTCAACGAGAGTGGCTGGGGGACGATCGGCTAAAGCTTTTCCGTAAATATCGGCTTCTAGACAGAGTATGTACTAACAAATTGACCCTCTAAGTCTAGGGAGATGAGCATAGACTGTAGGCAAATAAGAAAAACGTAACGGTTCGCTATGAGAGAAATGGCGCCGGTGAGACGCAAGTCGAGGAAGAACGGAATATGGTAGAAACAAATTTTTTCCTGATGAACACCTTTTTTTTGGTGTGTTCGGTGTTTACATAGTCATAGCACGAACTATTCTGTGGCTCTTGAAAAATCAGTCAAAATGCTCAAAAAACTCTGGCAGTATGGGACTCTCTGTTCTGAAAATGGCCGGCAGTCAATGAGTTAAGGTTCTCGGGTGTTCCTCAGACCTCGGCCACGTCCTCCGTCTGCCGCATGTAGGTGGGGATGGCGCCCCCGTTCCTGGAGCTGTAGGACCTCTCCGAGCAGGCGCTGGACGCGTCGCTGTTGGCGTCGTCGTCCGAATACATGCCGTAGTTCTCGTACCGCCGCCGGGCCGGCTTCTTCTGCAGGAGAGGGGGGGGGACACAGGGCATATGATGTGAAACCGACAAGGGTCCGGAGTCACAGGACACAGAAAGAGGGCATGCGAGGACCTCTGAACACACACAAACACACACACAGGTAGGAGGCAGGAGGGAAGCTGACCTTAGATCTCATGTCTCCCAACAGCTGACAGCGTTAAACAGAGGCAGAACCAGGGTTTAGTTAACACGCAGACAGACACTCTGGGAGATGTGAGCCGACGGCTGGCGGCAGTGTGTGTGCGTTTGGCCGTCGCTTTTACAGTTTTCATACCAGCGCGTCGGCCAGAGCCTCCTCCACATCGGAGCCCGTGTTCAGGACCCTCATCGCACTGACTGAGGAAGAGAGACGACTGGACTGACTGATGCCAAATCCTGATCCTACAGGGAGAGACAGAGAAGGAGGACGGGCAAAAGCAAAGTACAGGGAGTATGTTAATAACAACAACAAAAAAAACTCTGTTTTTACAGTTGATCTTGACATATTTTACTCGTCGTTTCATCTCCGACATTCATGCAACTCACAAAACATTTAACCAAGACACAATCCTGTAAGTTGATGTGATGACTTGTTAGGCGAGTTTTTTCGCAACATACTTTGGAAACAAAAAGGAAAAGAAATCAAATACAGGACAGCATGTGGATGTCCTTGCAGAGATGGGTCACGGCTAAATAAAGTAAAAGCAAAAAGGACAAAAAACCAGCAGAATGGTTATAAAATGACAACTGAGGAGGTGGAAGCATGCGGTTCCACCCGAGACGTCGACATCCTGGAGCGGTACGCAAAAAAACAAAAACAAATGAGGCTGATGGGCAAGAAAAAGAAAAACAGTGCTAACAGAGAGGAGAATATGACTTGCTCTAAAAAGAACAAATAGGAAAAACAGAGTGAGAAAAAAAAACAAATAAATGGGGTAGGTGAGGTACAGAGAAATAGATTTACTCAGCCTTCACCTGCAGCCCCAAAAGCATCAGGTGTGTGGAGAGCTCCAGTGGAGCGAGAGTAGCTCCGCGTGGCTGCAACCCAGATTAAAACACACACACAAACACACACACACACTCAGTTTAACCACCACACGAGCCGCCACACGCTGGAATCTCGCTTTGATTTTTGAAGGAAAGACAGAAAAGTCGGAAAACATGTAAACACGCTTTTCTTTTCGAAGTCCGGCTCTGAATACACAGTGAATTAGTAGTAAAACTAACCTAAAAGGCAGAGTGTAACCTAAAGAAAAGCCTCCTCTGACTGGTCTCCTCTGGGGGCCTGTCCACTACGGCTACTCACCGAGGGGTGTGAAGGAGCGAACGGGGCTGGTGTCCCGGCTGCTCTCCCTGCTGGCCTCTCTGCTGCAGCCCTGACTCATACTGGGCCGGGGGATTCGACTGCCCCGAGCTAAGGCCACCCGGGTTAGAACAGAAGGGAGAGGAGAGAGAGAGAGGCACACAGGGAAGGAGGTGACAAAAGATGTCGAGGAGGTGACAAAACACAGAGAGGAAGAAAGACAAACGTGAGATTTGACAGAGAAGTCAACAGAGAGGTCCAGAGACAAAGACGCCAGCAAGACAGAAAAGCTTAAAGCGACACGTTGGAAAAGAAAAAAAAAGAAAGACGGGTGCAGGTCTCCTGACCCTGAAGGAGCATCTCAACAGATTTCAATCACAGGGAGGTCAATCTGAACTTTTTAATTTAGTGATTTCACAAATCAGTCCCACCGGCTACGAGGTATCTTAAATTAAAGTTAGATTACAAGCAGCCAATCAGTGTGGAGAATCAAAGGCTATAAAAAGCATCACATTCTGTTGCTTTAACCATCACTCTTATGATCAACTTTCTCCTTGAGACGCACCCAGAAAGAGAGGAAATCTGCACTGTGTTCTCACACAGCTCCTGCTGTGTCACACAGACACAGAATAGGAAAAGAAGCCATTCCAGATTGAGTTTGACAGCAATCGAGCTGGTGTGTGTTTGTGGGGGGGGGGGGCGCTGCAATCAGCCCCAGTGATCATCGCTCTGCTGAGCGTCAGCCTCTTCGCAGCCATCTACAGTTAATCATCGGAAACTAAAGAGCTACAAAAGCTTTTGGGAACCCGACGAAGCTCGTTGTGCAGCCCCCGGCAGCAGGTTAGTACAGAGAGGGGGAACATCCATCCACAAAAGAGAGGAGATCATCAGCGCCCTTCACCAAAACAAGGCAGCCGTTACGTCAAACAATAAGAAAGAGCGGTCCGTGAAGCTGTGAGTTTGGAGGACTGGAATGGGACGATGGAGGGAGATCGGGAGATTTTGTGCAATGGATGGAGATATGAAATGAGGGGATGATAGGGGATGATTTCAAGATGAGGCACTGGGGCCTTACCTCCTCTGCTCGCGCCATTGTAGATGGAGCTAATGCTAGAAGGAGCTAGGGGGCAGAAGACACAGGGGCAGGAGGAAAACAGGGCAGAGAGAGGAGAGGGACCAGAAAAAATCCATTGAGATCTGAGCTTATCAACGGTAAACAACAGAGTCCAAGGCAGCATCTCACGACACGGATACTAGGGTTGTCAAAAGTATCGATACTCGAAAAAGTATCGATACTAAAATGTTGTATCCGGATACGATACTCATTTTCAAAAGTATCGATACCACCGCCCCCCCTTCTCTCAGATTTATTTATGTATTTATTTACGTTGTTTATGGTCATTAACAAGACGTTAGCCTTGCTAGCTGCGGCTAATGACTAATAATAACATGCTACCATTAATCAAGTATATATCCAACTCCACCCACATCCAAGTCGTTCATTTTGATTAGGTCACCAATAGGAAGATCCCAGGCAAGAAAATCCTAATTGCTTCAGGGCAATATAGACATTAATTTAAAAATAGTTAAATGAATCTTTCAAACACTTAATTAAACTTTATACATATTATGTTAAAATAGTGTATATTAAATTGGTTTGTACAATAAGTCCAAACAAGTCTAACCAAAAAATATTTATTTCTCACAATTACGAAGGCTGGACGGTTAGGATTAGGGTCATTAATGTGGGCCACCAGTCACGATAACATCAGTAACAGGTCAGTTTGAAATGAAAGACACAATTCAGTTAAATTTTGAGGTCTTTGTTTTTACCCTTGTGGTATCGAAAATGGTATCGAGTATCGAGTATTTTCCTGAGTATCGGTATCGAGTTGAAATGAAAGACACAATTCAGTTAAATTTTGGGGTCTTTGTTTTTATCCTTGTGGTATCGAAAATGGTATCGAGTATCGAGTATTTTCCTGAGTATCGGTATCGAGTTGAAATGAAAGACACAATTCAGTTAAATTTTACAGAGAGGTCCTGAGAGCGGGAGCTCACCGACGGACAGGCGGGTGGGGGAGGAGTCCCGGGAGCAGCCCTGGCTGCGGGGGATGCGGCTGCGGCGGTGCCCGTCCCCGGTGGCCCCGGCCAGGACCCGGTGGGCGCCGGAGCTCATGGTGCTCAGAGCCGTGGTGGTCAGCACGCGGCCCGGGGAGCCGCTCCGGCTGCCCGCTTCAGGGAAACACAACCCAGTCAGTCAGAGCCCCAAAGACAGCTTTTAAAAACATCTTATGATTTATTAGAGGAAAGCAAACAGGCAGCATACGCACATCTGTTACGGCTAAACACAGTAAATGTGCTCCTGAGTGGAAACCTTCGCAGTGTTAGATAATTATTGGAAATAGGACTCCTGGGGCTGTGAAACCTAAAATCTGTGAGCTCACATCAGAGGAAACCAATGAGCACAAACTCTTTCACAAACACAGACAAATCAAAGGGAAATTTCGACACCAGGTTCATTTTTGAGAATACATTGCAAAGCCATCGATTGAAGATTTTCACCCCCAATTTGTTCAGGTGGTCAAAAGGGTTGCGTTTCCTTCCCCTGGAGATCCTGTCTCAAGAGCCACATCCACAGTGTCTTTTTTCTCTCTTCACTATGACGCTGAAACTATGATAAGCTGCACACAGAACAGTGTCGCTGTCTTCTACAACTTAGTGACAATAACTAACCTAAATCCACATTAAAAAACACACACACAAAACATCCATTTGATGCTATCGGGCAACACAGGGTTAAGACACTTCTAGAGATCAAATACAGGTAAATGTAAATACAAAAGAGGCTAATAAGTTTCATCTCCCTGGTCATGTCCCCCAGTTGGACTTTATCTATCTGAATTATTGTAAACTCTGTTTTCGTTTCTTCCCTCTCTTCCTTCCCTTCTGATTTTCTGCTCAAACTTCAGGCACACAGGTGAGCAAAGAAACATGAAGCTTTCAAAATTGTGTTTTGCAAAATCAATGAGCAGCCATATCGAAACTCTTGTGACTACTACACATCCCAGCATGCCTTGGCCACAGTGGGAGGAGCTTTGAGTGACTCGTCTGCGTGCACGTGAGCAGAGGAGCGTTTGGAAAACAGAGGAAAGGCAGCTAAAGAGAGCAGGGGGGTAAAAAGAAGTAGCGCTGTAATCTTACCACCAACAGGGTTAGCAGACTGAGATCCTGAGCCAAAAAGCCCATTGGTTGAGAAGAAGGAAAAAGCAGAGGTGAGGGGGGAGGGGGGGGAGGAACAGCAGATTAAACCAGATGCATTATGGGTTAGCGCAGAAAGCATCATGGGAGTAAGAAGACTGCACGATGAGAGCGCATCCTTGTGCTCCACGCCAAGAATGAGAGCCATGTCGAAGCACTTTGTTTAATGTAATGACTCATTAAAGAAAAGTCGAGTAGACACAAACTCACACACACACACACAAACTGAACCGGCTGCAGATGGTAGTTTGGGAGAAGCAGTGCATGTTGGGACCACGGGAACGGTATCAACTAAAGCCTCGACACGATGAGGAAAAGAATTCTATTAAAACATGTGCAAAAACAAACGCACAGTCGCTCCCACACACGTGGAAATCGTCGTGACCCTTTATTTCTCATCTTTTGTTCTGACTTGTGGCCTTGAAACTTCAGATCTTGCATGTTGACGTCTGACTTAATGTCCAGTTCGGACTGAAGATCTGCGTTGTGAAACAAGCCGTTTGTTAGCTGCCAGTAGTTTTGGGAGCAGATCTCCATCGTGGGTTTTAACATCAGAACAAGCTCGTGGCTTGAGTTATGCTTTTGGTGTTTCTTTAATAACCTGAACGACAGCCAGAGCCAAGCTGGTGCAGCAGAAATAAACTGTCCACCACACCATCCTCAGTGGAGATACACAGCATGCAGAGAGAAAACACACACTCACTCTTTGGTACACAAAAAAAAGAAAGGAAAACACCTTGATCTGAATGAGAGCGATAGCGGGTGGGTCACCATTCCCACTGTGGTACACACAAAAGACAAGCACACTCCGACAAACAGACATGATACCTGGCGTGCAATCGGATTCGTCGGAACCTGAAGGCACAAAAAAATTTACACGGACCTCGTTGGTACCATGGCGGCAACAAGTTCACAGCCTAAGAACCCACACCCACTCCGATCGGCGCGCGTTTCTGCTCTGTGTGTGTTTGCTGTAAGTGCACGTTAGGGATGTCCCGATCCAGCTTTTTGCACTTCTCATCCGATCCCGGATTATTTATTAGTTATTTAGTTTTAGTTATTAGTTATTCATCTACTTACTTAGTTGTCAGACTCATGTTGTTGTGACTCATGCAGTGGGGTGACCGCTCTTTTGCAGTGGCAGGTCCTAAACTGTGGAACTCTCTGTTACGTTCATTTACTGACCTGCCACTGTTCAAAGCTCAACTTAAAACGTATTTGTTCAGGATGGCTTTTTGCACGTAAAATCTCTGTATACTGGGTTCTGTCACCAATGTGTTTGTCTTTGTATATTTCGATAGTTTGATTTGTTTTTATTCTGTAAAGCACTTTGGTCAGCTCCGGTTGTTGTAAAGTGCTATATAAATAAACATTGATTGATTGATTGATTGATTGATGTTGAACAGGGATTTACTCTGATAACTACTTAATGGTTAGGACACAGACCTGTGGGTTAGCAGATGCTAATGCTAATGGACCTGGAATCTGGATCTGCATTTTCTCCTGCCGGTAGCTAAAAATTTTTTTGCTTTTTTTTTTTTTTCTGCATTTTGTTTCGAATACCGGGGGCCGATCTGATCCAGATTTCGGATCGGGACAGTCCTAGAGCATGTGACACCTGGCGCCGGTATCCACGCTGTGTTTTGGCGGTGAGCGGGCGGCTGGAGGGCTTACGTTGGGACTGGGAGACCATCTTGGAGCGGCTGCGGCCTCGGGAGTCCACCTGGCTGGACATGCTGCTGGCCGTGGTCAGGGGCTGCTTGGTGCGCACGCGGCCTGCGAGCAGGGAGAGACGGTCAAAAGGAGCCCGTTCCCGGGCCGACATCCAATCAGACAGCTGCAGGAAGCCCGGAAACTACGAGGCGCTACAGCCGGTAAAAAGCAACTACTGACTGCTGGCCAGCCGTGTGCAAACACAGGGAGGTAGAACAGGGATGCTTTAGTGGATTAGAGTCAAATCTCAGCAGGGGGACGTCTAAAGCCTGAACCAGGTAATAAGATGACTAAAGATCTCTAAACAGGATCTAAGTATCTAAAAAGGATCTGACAAAACAAAAAGCCGTTTGAATTGAAAACAGAAAGATTAAGAATGATTTAGATTAAATCAGGTTACTTATGAGGTTAAACAAAGGCTTTGTTTTCATCTAATTTACCTTCACACTAATCCACTAGTTTAAATCTTCAATTTGACTGATTCCCAGCATATGTGAAGCATATGCTGCATTTAAATTGAATAAATCTCCAAATGCATCAGTCAAACACACAATGCATTGTCTGTCCATCTAGAACATCCCTAAAACAGGCATACAGGAGGCGACCTATCACCGGTCTTACCATTGTCTGACCTGGTCCCTACGGACAGACAAAGAAGGAGCATGTTGTAAAGTTAACATTTAGCTCATGAAGCTGAACGTATACACAAGAAAATACGTATGATAGTTAATACCACAATCTGAGTTCGCTAAGAGGACATCAATTATTGAATGAGGAGATGTGCATCTGTAAGGCATGAGGTGATTTTAAATGTGTTACTATCTGATCTGTGGTGTGGAGCTCTGTGGTAGTATGGGCGTTAGGCTGACAGTAGGGGGCGCTGTGACCTCACTGTCCACACTGAATTTAAATGGACTGATATGAAGTGATGGAAGGGAAAAGGAAAGCAGCAGCAGAGTGAGATGATCTTACCATCCGTTTTATCAGAGGCATCATCTTAAGGAGCAAAGAGAGGAAAAAAGGGTGCAGGAGAAGGGAAAAAAACAACAAAGAAAAAGAAGAAACATAAAGGAAAGGGAGCCAAAAAAAGGAAATCAAATAACAGGAAAGTTAGAGGAAAACAGGGGTGTGGACAAAAAGCGTCAAAACGAAGGTAACCAAAAAAATGAAAGGGAGACAAGAAGTGTGAGGTAGAGAGAAAATGTGGATAGAGGAGAAACAAGAGAAGAAAGGAGCACAGTGTGCATTAGTAACGTACCATCTGTTTGACAGAGAACCATGCAGATGTAAAGACAACAGAGCGGGGAGGACAACATCCATCTACACCGCATGCAGAGAGCCTCCACACAGACACACAAACAGGTGCGTGAGCAGGCAGCAGCGGAGGAGAGAGGACGAACAAGCAAAGAGGTGTGTCTTTGTGTGTCTGTGGCTCCGCCCCTCATGGAGGGATTCTCAGTAACCATAGAAACCGTCTCCACCGGGCTGTGAGGACTCCCGTTAGCCGCCCTGTCTGAGTGAGCGTGGGACAGGGCCCTTACCCAGAGAGGAGTAGGAGCCGGGGGGCAGGCGCCCCGCCCCCCGGGTTTGCCCGACGTGCCGCTGCTTAGCAACCGCTGCTGCGTTTACGTCCACGTCGCTACGGGAACGCTGAAGGGAGGCCGACGACACCCCGGCCTTAGAGCCGGCAGGGACTGATGGGACAGGGGGAGTGTGTTGGAGAGGGGGGTGGGAGGGGGAAGGGGAGGGAAGGGGAGGGGAGGGGATGGGACACACACACAGTATGTAAACACAACGCATGCAGGCACCGTACAACACAACACAACACAACACAACACAACACCGGTAACACAAACGGCCACACGCACGTACACATGTTCTCACGCACAGGTGTGCAGGAACAGAGCCGCGGCGGGCGGGGACAGGGGGATGTGCATGAGGGCGATGGGAGATGGTTTTGTGGGAGCTGAGTCGTGTTTGCGTATGTGTGCGTTTCATCTTGTCACAACATTGTGTGTCTAAACAGTGTGTGTGTGTGTTTGGAGGGGGGGGGGGGGGGGACCCCCCCCGCCCGGGGGCCCTGACCCCCTGGGAGTCAGAGGACGGCTGTTTGAAGAGAGGGGAAGAAGGTCAGCTTACAAAAGCAGAAACCCCGGACAAGGAAAAGTCCTCCGACCCAGAAGGTGGAGACACACAGATGCTCTATTCCCTAAGAGCTCAATTCAACCAAACAACACAGTTAAACTCAGGACACAATCGAGAGAGGACAGCCGGAGGTTCAGAGGTTTTCATCAGGCCAACAGAGACAGAGGAGACTGATTCAGAGGCTGATCATAACATGACAGCAGGGCTCTGAATAACCTTCAATTAATTCAATTTTTTATCACTGATGCATTATTTCCCTTTGGGGATGAATAAAGAAATCTATCTATCTATCCATCTTTCCATCTATCCATCTATCCATCTATCCATCTATCCATCTATCTATCTATCTATCCATCTATCTATCTATCTATCTATCTATCTATCTATCTATCTATCCATCTATCCATCTAACTATCTATGAAAAACAAGACAGGATATCTGAATATGCAACCTTTAAAATACTATTGATGTGCTTTCTCAAAGATTGAGTTTCTCCTTTGGTTCAAAGACTCAGCTCTTTAAGTAAACCTTGAAGTCTAAAGCGATCTGAGGAGGGGAAGAGCTCAGCGTTCATTACTTGAGGCTCTCCTGAGAAGAAGAGGACGAGCGATCGCTCTGGGGAAGTGAGGCCACGCTGCCGGAGCTCTTCAGGAAGGACTGGAGCGTCCTCTGGTACGAGGGCTCCAGCGAGTTGTAGAGCGCATCGGCCTCTGCTGGGAAGTGGTTCCTTAGACCCCAATACGCCCTGAAAGACACACAGACAGCAGAAAACATGGTGAAAATCAAGTTATACAGGGGGAAAAGAGAAAAAAGGGGGAGAAAAGGAACAGAAAACAGACTAGAGACAAAATTTGGAGCAGAAAAAGAGTAAAATTGTGAGAGTAGGAGCAGATAAAGAGAAAGGCTGGTGGTTACAGACTGAGTCTTTCTCATAATGTAAATTTCAGAGGTTTGTGAATCTTACTTGCGGGCTTCTACTCTGGCCTCCGAGTCAGCATCTCGAATTCCCTTCTTGATGCTCTCAACCATGACAGAAGTGTGCCTGAGACGATGGCAGAGAGATGAGTTAAAAAAACACACAACAAGCTGGTTTCACCGGCATTTCGAAGGCAACCAAAGACGCCGCCCCACCTTTCCAGGGAATGGGTTTGCCATTCTTGTAGGAGAAGGTCCAAGAAATCGTAACAGCGCCTGAAAGATGACATCAACACACTTCCTGGTTATTCTCATCCACAACAAAAACTCCACGGCTGAAACACAAACTCCTGGAGCCTCTCACCTCCGAACGGCCACAGACTTGGAGGTGCAGTTACTGGTGATGAGCGGGATGAGTCTGGGGACATGGGTGTGCTGCACAGAGGACAGGAAGCATCGTCAGGAAAAAAAACCTCCAAAGCATTCGCCGATCACCGGTAATAGCCGAAGCATAATGGCTCCGGGAGGACTCACTCGGATGATGATGCGGATGGCCGAGACCCCGGAGCTGGCCATGACTTTGGCACAGTTGGGGATGAGGTTGAAGAGGACGGGGACGATGGCCTCGGCTCCGTGGTCGAATTTATTCCCCAACAACGACGACAGGTGGCTGTGAAACCACGTTAGACACGTTTATACACAGTTATGGGAACGACTTCAGCCTGTCAGCTCCTTTTGCCTTTTTACTTTTTTAACTTACATAGACATCTACATACAAGCCCACATTTAGGCTGCAGCTCTTTACTTACAAGATACTTAAAGCAACTTTAAAAGTGTGTGTATCAGGATAAACTTACAAGTAAAGTAGTTACATGATTAAACAGGAACATACAAACATAGCTACAGGTAGCAATGCAAATGAAGATAAGTGAGTGAAATAAACTAAAAATAGCACTAAATAAATAAATAAATAAATAATAAGAAATATATATTAAAAAATGAGAAATAATACAAACTGAAAATAAATGAAAATTGAATAAATAAATAAATAAATAAATAAATAAATAAATAAATAAATAAATAAATAAATAAACAAATAAATAAATAAATAAATAAATAAAATAAAATAAAAATTGTACTGCATTCGTATTGTCATGGCCGGTTTCCATCTGTTGACAAATATGTTATCTCCTTGGCCTATACGCATTTTTTGGCAAATATCGGCGGCCGATCGGTTCCAGATATCGGATCGGGACCAGCCCAGACCCGCGTTTGTTCCTGTCTGGGCTCAACACTCACCCCACGGTGACGCAGGCCTCCCGGACCACCTGCGAGCGCAGGTCTTTGGCCGACAGCTTGAAGGCGCCGTCCAGCAGCCGCAGGTGCTGGTAGAAGCAGTCGTAGTTGGCGGCGCCGGCCACCAGCAGCGAGCGGATCTTCTTCAGCTGTCGGGACACCAGAGACACATCGGGGTGAGAGTCAGAACCCAGAACCGGCGCAGGGATCTGATTGGACGACGGCCGGGGGAGGCTCCACCCACAGCGCTGGCTCTCTGGTCCCAGTCGTGCTTGTCGTCAGAGCAGATCTCCCGGATCTTGTTGAGGTTGTCCTCCAGGTCTCTGGCAGAGTAGATCTGCAAAGCACAGGGGGGAATAAAGTTACGAAGGCACTGAGAGAGTCACAGGCAGTGTGTGAACGCTCAGATTCATGTGTGAGCAGAACCTGGACAGTGGGGACGTCCGTAAAAGCTTTGACGAAATCCTCCTCATCGATTACTCCGGCACTTTCCTTCGACACTAGATAGAAGAAAGGGAAAAAAGAGAAGAATTGATTAATTCATCAGCGTGTGAGTTGTAATATCTTTTTTTTTTTTCATTTCTCAACTGAACTGTTGAAGAAAAATGAGAGAAAATGCATTCATGGCCGGCTGGTGAGGACATATTTGGAGATTTGTCCAGGAAAATGTACCTTCATTCTTTTATAAGTGCAAACGGAGTCTCCTTAACACACACAGGTAGCAAAAACTAAATATTTCCCCCAGACCACCACCCTCTTAAAAAGGGGCGTCTAAGCCACATAAAGACACCTAAGAGCCCCTGAACACAACATATTTTCTTTTCCTGTGTCACTTCACAATTGTACATGTCATAATTACCTATTATTTACTTCTTTGTTATTTAAAATATGTTATTAAATTGTCCTGTGGCACTGGGATACCAGCTTAAATTCCTATGTACGGTGTACATTTGGCCAATAAATCCGATTTCTGATTTCTGATCTCTGATTCAGGCACAGCTCCTCAGCTTTATTGAAATGATTCACTCTGAATCTGCGGAAGATAAAATTATTTCTTTATAGCAATTTTTACTCGAGTGGATTTCCAGGAGCCTTTATGCATCTGAACCACTGACGAATTCCAGCACAGGCCAAAGTAATTCAGATGACAGTGTAACAATATGTGAAGACTTTAGGGGTTATTTTGCCAGCTGTGTTCTCATCAAGTGCTTTGGATCGATAAAATTACCAGAATCTCTGCTTTTAAACAGTTTGTTACATGTAGTTCACTTATAGGCAGCATTTGTGTACACTGAAAACAGGGGGAAAGCTTCAAGGTGTCTTTCGAAAAGGGGAGGAGACCCCAACAGACTGCAGAGCCAGGTGTGAACACATGTAATTCCAGCTGTGCTCTTTAGATAAGTCACATGGGACCAGTGTTAATCACGTGTGAATCGACCCAGAGAAGGAAGAGGCATTCGAAATCCACCAAGAATACATTTCGAAGCTTGTTTCTTTTTCTTTCTCCTCTTGACAGAAAATCTTATTTAAGATACCGACTGTCAGAAAGGCTCCAAGAAGGGTTTTGATCACATTTAATCAGGAGGAAGCAACACGGAGCTGGTGGGAGCAGACTGTGTTTCTAATGGACTTCCTGACAGTAATGGGCATGTCAATCAAAACTCTCTGGAGACTGAAAGCTGTGCAGGCCCCACCTCCTACGACTCCTAACCGGGGGAGAAGATAGAGGTGGGAGAGGCGAGACAAAGGGAGATGGAAAGGATAAAAAAAAAAAAGAAAAAAGACTGGGGGAAAAAAAGCAATCTGAGAAGATAAAAATATAGAGAACAACGAGCAGCAGGACACATGATATCCACAGAGATAGAGGAGGCAGAATAGTTGCTGCAAATGTGAAAGAAGAGATTTGATGATCAAAGGGGAGCAATACAGGAGGGACATAACCCCCCCCCCCCCCAATCTCCCCTGTGGCTGATATCCATTTCAAGCACTGCCAAAAAAATGTGTCATGTCAAACTGTACATGGTCCTTTAGAGAGTCGGGCTGTCCCCTGTAATCCTGATCAGTCCGGTTTATGGTTTATTTGTTTAATAAAAAATTGCAAGCTATGTAAATGGTTGGTAGTTATCTGAATTCTGTGGCCTTTTTTTCAGATTGAACCATTGTTTTAAAACGGAAACTAAACTTATGATGAACAAACCTGACAAAGCCCATATAGAGATTATGTGACTTTGCACTCAAATGTTTTGTCCTAATCAAAATTGACTAACTCTAGAGATAAATAAAGGGTTTGATTATTAAAAATAAAACTCCTGATCATGAAAACTTAACTTAAACATAATTTCCAGTCATTTCTGTAGCCGCTGTGTGAAATGTGAGCGGTAAACAGGGCTATAAAGTGATCTGGGATCTGTGTGAACATCCGATTTATAAGAACTGCCGTTTAAAATCACACTGTCCCTTTTAGCAAAGACCACCGACATCACAAATCTGGGAAAGACTGGAAAAACTCCACACATCCTCTCTGTGGAGCCGGTTCCAGTGGGTGTACTGTCACCAAATGTAAATGCAGACAATGCGACCCTTGTAGAAACAACGTTTTGAGCACCAGAGAACTAGAATATAGGCCAACAAAATTACTGGGAATGTTTGGAGTCACTAATCCTTCATGAATGTTAGCTCAGAGTTCCTGCTGGCTTTGAAACACCCTCAATGTGGAAATAATGCTTTTCTGTTTAAGTTAAACACCATCACTCCCCGTCTTTAGTGTTTCAATAGCTTTTGGCACATCAAACGTACACATGAGTAAATTATCATTTGAGTGTTTGGCTTAGAGCTCATCTAAAAACACAGATGATCCAAAAATAAACACCATCAGTGAGGCTGCTGACGGGCTCAAACTCCTAATAATGCCGATTATGTCTGAGAGGAGACTCAGTAAAAATCTGCTCCATAGGTAAAGACGGGCTTATTTAAATCCCAGTTGATTTATCTTGGTAGAATTTCTTTTTGTGTCGCTCTGAAAGGGAAACATGCCCAGCAGGGCTCTGATTGGGCCTCTGGAAGCTGTTCCAGATCAATAACAATTCAATGATCCGAGCGACAGGACAGCACGTCATGTTGTCTTGTTTCCAGCCTTCACAGAGACACACGTTAGGACTCCCATGACTGGACCTGCTGACTCGACAGATCAGCAGGAATCTACTCCATGTTCACGGGAACTCATGGCTCCACCAATAAGATCCAACGCAGGCAAATCAATATCAAACATTAACTCCAACCAGCTGCCACTGGGGAAACACTGTAAGGCCAAAGAGGGCAAAAGAGATACTAAAGCAAAATTTCAGGAAAGAAAAAGCCTCACAAATATCTATAGTAGGGATGTCACGATCCAGCTTTTTGCACCTGATCCAATCCGATCCCGGCCTATCGGAGCACGTATTAAAGTTGAAAGTTATTTAGCCAAATTACTTAGTCGTCAGACTCATGTTGAACAGGGATTTACTCTTATAACAACTTAATGTTGGGACACAGACCTGTGGGTTAGCAGATGCTAATGCTAATGCTCAGGTGGGATCGGACTTTTAAAAAAAAAATGGATCTGGAGTCTGGATCGGCATTTCCTCCTGCCTGCCTATATGCATATTTTTGTGAATATCAATGGCCGATCCGATCCAAATATCGGATTGGGACAAGCCTAATCCATAATCATTGTTGACAAAAGAGGAATGTTCATTCTTAATGAGTGGAAAAGATATCAGAGAAAGATATCAGATATCTGAAAGTAAATAACCGAACATGGACTTGAATCTTAATACTAAATTCCACATGTTTCTCCACTTGAATATGATGGATGAATGGATTCTTTCCTCCAGTGGGGGTGAGCAGGTGAGGAGTACCTAGTTTCCCGCCGGTGGCGCTGGGCCGGCGGGCGGCCGAGGACTCGGCCGGTTTCTTGGGGACTTTGGGGACCTTGAAGGCAGCCTGGGCCGAGGAGGAGCGTCCGTCCACGCTGTCGTCATCGTCAAAACTACGATCTGAGCAGGAAAGACGGAGAGAGGCGTTAAAGCGCGGATCAGACTGTGGTAAAACGCAACGCTGCAAATCTTCCTGCTGGAAAACACAAAAAGGGGGACTCATTCTTTACACCTTTAATGCTAAACACAAAGGGCAAAAAGGCCTTTTGGAGACAACATACATCCAAAGAAAAGCAACAGAAAGGAGCAAAGCACAAAGAGAGCAGAGTCAGGAGTCATTAGATCAATACTAATTACAAACAGTCCATCGATTCAGGGGAAAAGAACAAATCCACACACACACAGCCTCATTTCTGAGGGGCCTGAATCCCCTCGGATTGATCAAGATGTCCAACCAGGCAACTGGTGCCTGACAGCAGCCCGAACCTCTTTGTGCACGCTAGCAGAAATCCTGCAAGCTGGAAGGCTCGCGGTGAAACTCGACACATGCATTGTGCGCATCATCGTTGCAACTGAAGACAGATGCACACACGCACAGACACACACACACACACATAGACAGACACACACTCAAAGTCGAGCCTGGAGATCAAACTGTTGGCAGAGGAATGCAGTTGCGCTCTGGTCGCTCTGACAACCAACCGTGAAGAAATGCGCCAAAGCCACCACCCTTTACCTTGACTCATACACAAGCTTACCTACACACACACACACCTACACACACACACACACCCACAGACACACACACACACACTTACACATCACAAAAGGGCATGCATACATGAGCCGAATACTCCAAGACTCCAGCCTCGTGGGGAAGTTTTTAGGTTCCAGCTCAGTAATGGTTAAGTGTCAATACGCCTCTTGTCTGTAACTGACATTTACACACACACACACACACACACTTACACACAGACACACACACACACAGACACACACACACAGGCTGGACCATCCCTGCACTCACAGTCACAGATCCGCTGGCAGATGAGTTTCCTCATGCTTGTGGGAGGGCGTGGTGTTGGGGGTCCCCCTTCTCCTCCGAGTCGCACCCCAAAAACAACACACAGGCTTCGCTCACACACAATTCATGGTGCGTCCGGACTCACACACTCCCCACATCGCTGTCAGAAGCCCCTCCATCCACACAACTGCCGGCATTTTCTTTCAGCCCTCTCCGCCTTCCATCCCTCCCTCCCTCTCTCTCTCTTTCCCTTTCTCTCTCTTTTCCGAGCCTCTCTCCTCCTTCCCTTAGCAGCCTCGCAGCCAATGGAGAGACGGATGACATCATGGCGTTGCAGCCAGTGCGGAGGCCGCCTCTCCGAGTGTGTGGGCCCAGAGAAAGGGAGGCGCACACATGAAGACACCCCAGGAATAATAACGGGGCTCCTCTCAGTCCCTTCCAGACCACCAGGCCCACTCGGCCCCTCACATCCACCTCAACGCGGAGAAACAAGCCTCAATTCCAGCTCTGATCCACAGACAAAAGACCACAAATGATGGAGCACTGATAGAAACGGGGGGGGGGGGGGGGCGGGGTGTGGCCCTCCACCAGAGCCCATTACCCTGTTTTAGTGTCACTTCAGTTTAGATGAAAATAAAAAATACAGTTTACTTTTCGTTAAGAATGTGCTGAAATCTTCTAAATAACAGCAAAAAAAATTGAAATTTGTCCTTCGAATCGTTTGATAATGTCTGCATCATCTCCTCATCATTATCCCCTGTCATCATTCACCAGTTGGCAGCAGCTGGATGGAGCTAAATGAAATAGGATTTATGATTATTTCCAAGTTTTCCAGCTCTACGTCATCCTGCAGCTGTTTGGTTGCAGCAGGTGTTTGTGTTTAAATGTTTAAGCAGCTGTATTTCTGCGTGGAGCTAATGATCTTATGATAGATGGATTTAGTCAGATCATAAAAACAAAAAAGAAACAAAAACTTAAGTGGAAAAGCAAGCTAAGGGTTTGCTGGATTAGAAGTAAAGATGTCAGTCAAAGGTGTAAATACAATACCAAAAAAACTCAAATGTATCAATAAAAATGTTTTTTAATCTAATAAAAGTGTTCCTGACACCACCTGTTTGCAGCCAGCTGGATAAACTGACAGAAGTCAGATGATGCTTTTTATCCTCCATGTTTTAATACGGTGACACTTTAGAATCGATAATTCACAGTTTTCTTAAAGGCCTCGATGCTCGCATCTACATTCAAATCAGTGTAAAGGTTAAAAAGCCCAGTTCCACATCCTTCAGGGAAATAATGTGTGGAAATAATTGTAAGCAGTTGTTATCATTGACTTTTGAATTTCCTCCTTTAGTGTGGAGCAAACAGAAATTTGGAGCAAAAATAAACCTGTCAGCTGTTTGTACATTTTGTAGATTGTTTTCATTCTAGGATTTTGTCCTCCCAATAACATAATAATAATAATAGTGTTTGATGCTCTTCCTCCTTCCTGTTGCAGGTAATCTCTGGTGCCCTTTTTACAGCTACTTTAGACGTGTTAATGCTGAATAGAAACATCCAGATTTCATACAGAAAACAGACGGCTTCATGTATTAGTCATTCCTCTGGAAAAGGGCCACCAGAGAGCAGAGACAGAGATATGCAGCTTATCTTTAAACAAATCCAGCCAGGTGAAAAGTCCCCGAGGACCCACAGTCTGCTGGCGTCTCTTATTAAAAAACACCAAAAATACCTGCGTGGTGCTCCACATGTGGCCCCTTAAACCTCCTATATCCATGACCCCCAACCTCTATATGCTCTTTTTCATTTTAGTTAAGCGTATTGACTGCATTGATTTTACAGTGAAGCCGGGCAGTGAAATGATATTTGGTTTTCCAGTCAGTTGATATGTAGCGTTAGCTTTGCGGTGGTAAACAAAGAAGACGATCCCGACAGCATCCGAGGTCGAAGGTTCAAAAGAACCAGGACGACCCCTTTGGCATGACAGCCATCATTTGTAACAAAAGACGCGGGTTCATTAGTGGGACTGCCATGCGTGGGCGGGGTGGGGGGGGCAGCATTGATTAGCATCAGTGCTAGCATGATTAGCTTCCCTGCTTTTGTCTGGTCAGCTCCCGTGGGAGCGCATGTCTCTGGGTGGAGGGCACAGACAGCAGAGAGGGGGGGGGCAGCCAGAGCGAATCCCGCCACGGAAACAGACTGCATGCGTGCTGTTGCCATGGCGTTCTGTTGCCGTGGCAATCTGCGCAGCCATGCTTCTCAGATGAATAAAAAAAGAGGGGGGCGCACAGAAACAAATCAACAACGATTACAGACCATTTCTGAAGAAAAAAAACAACCAAAAAAAAAACAAAACTGAATGTTAAGGGAGCCTGTTCCAGCAGCAAAAGATCTCAAATAAACACATTTTCACAGTATGTTCGAGGCTGCGTTACCATGGAAACCCCAGGCCGACATCCCCCTGCTGTCTCCTTTTAGGAGGATTCAAACAGACAACACAAAAAACAGACAAATGAGCTGAAATAACTCAGTCTGATGGTAAAAAGTACAACCTCAGACACAAACTCTGCAAATACGTGAGGAAGAAAAACCCACATGGCCACACCAACAGCGTAAAGACAATCTGTTCAAAATCTCTGAAGAAAAACACGTTTTCACCACAAGGTGGCAGCACTGATTCTGGTCTCTTCTGACTAAAATGTACCAAAATCCCTTTAAAAATTAAACCCAGCGTGCCTCTGATTTACCGACGAGAGCAGCAACAACATCACTCAATAACCAGACTCGAGTTTGGAAGTTAATTCACTGCCTTCAACAAAATTATTACAATTTTAGAGAAAAACAGACAAAAAACAACTGCGTCACAGACTCCGTTTCTCCCTGTAGGTCTGACAGCTGCTCTGAAATAGAGGACGTGGGCACCCCATCGATTCCAGGCAGCTTACAAATACACTAACTTTCTAAAAATCAGCATTACAAAGCACAAACTGCAGCTCCTTAAACATCAGCACAGACTTAAAACAACCACAGCTCTGGTTTGTGCTGATCCCTGTAAGCTGCCGGGAATGTCACAGACAGCGTCTGGAGGCACATGCAGACCATGACGCAGGAAAAAAGAGACATCGCACATCACTGAACACAACCGAAGGGGAAACTAGAGCAGGAACTGCGGAGACACTGGAAGGCAAAGCAAGTCAATCCTGAAAGTTTTAAGAGAGACACTGTATCAGGAGTCTCAGATCGATGATGTGAAATTTAATAGAATGTATTTTACAAGACGTGCAAGTCTTAAATGCTTCATTAAAGTCTTTATTACATCTTAATTCGAGCCCGTTAAAACAGCTGGAAGCAGAGCGTGATGGAGAGAAAGAAGGTAAAGTTAGAGAGGGATTTCAGGGTCTGGCCTGGTTACTGAGAGAGAAAAACCGCTCCACTTCAAGCCCAGCTCAAAGAAAATGATCTCATTAAAACACACACACACACACACACACAGGTATGATGTGAGTCCCAGTTTGGACTCAAGTAAAGGAATAACCCACAGCATCCAGAGGAAAGCTTCACTATGGCAACCAGTCTGGCCCAGAAGAAGGTCAAGCTACCGATAACCAGCTGGGCCTCACCTGCAGTTTTCATATTCTTTCAGTATCCAACAGATACAAATAACACAGCGAGGAAATGATCTACACAGTTATTACACAACTGATCATCTGAGGATGAAAACAAAGCAATTAATGAATAAATCAACCAACTGGGCTGCATGAAAAAGTTATTTCTTTGCTTATTTCAGGAGCAGGAATGCGAGACCTGATCCATAATTTGGTTTCAGAAAAGTGGATTTTAAAACTCCGTGCAGGATTATGAATTTTGGTGACAAACGTCTGACGAGAACAGTAAAAAAAAAAGGAGGAAAATAAATCAATAAATTTGCTGTATTCACCTGTCTGAAGCAACACAAAAGAGGAAAATTACTGGTGAATCTGGACTGAATATCTTTTGTCAGGCGCCATGTGACCTCGACTGATCTCTGGGGTTTAAATCCAGCCGACAGAAACAAGTGATAACAACTAAATATACGTTATACTTCTCATTTTCCTCTCGGGTTAGTCGAAAAACAACAGGACAACATGGATGCGGCCTCGTCATTGAGGCAAAAATCCAAAACAAAATAAGATATATTTCAGGAAAGCCCGTTTTTTCTGATGTAACCCGGCAGAGCCGCGGCGTTCGGGCCCAAAGTGCTCGACTTTAAGCTGATTTCAATCTAAAACCTTATGCTGACATGTTTCTGTGCGGGTGCCAAAATCCTCAGGCAGATGAGATTAAACAGGCAGACACAGGCTCCCCTCCTGTCGTCCTCAGGCCTGACGCCGTTTACCTCCCACCTCTGTTTCCCCCCCGTTTGCCCGACGCCTATCGGTTTGGTTTCTGTCCGGCTGAATCAGGGAGGCAGAGACGTCCTTCCCCTGCTCATCCTCCCCGAGCAACAGCGGCCTCAAACACGCCGGGGAGCAGGACGTCTGTGTGGGTTCAGCCAGTTTCCCCCGCTCACAGAGGAATAACGGTCGCATCTGGTCAGTAGGGTTATGTCTGACTCCACCAGCCTCCTGGGGGGGATTTTACTTCCATACGAGGGGATTTAAGGCGGCAGTTTGGGGTGAGCTGACATCAGATAAGGTCAAATAACTCAGAAATTTACAAGAAAAGTGCATCATTATAAACACTTATCGGATTTCCATTGAGTTTTTTTGGGAAGAGTGCAATTCTTTTGAATCAATGGCATCACAACTTGTGATGTAAGTTTTGTCCAATCGCAAGTTCCAGAAGAGAAACCATGAACTTTACTTAAAAATAAGTTATCTGTACAGACTTAAATGGTATGGCTAAAAATTGAACTAAACTAAATCGGACACTCAACATAACATAACTCAGCTGAATGCCTTTGAAAAAAAACATAAAACTGAAGCATCCCAAAGCTCAGAAAGAGGCCTCCGTCTGCCTTCTTTCATCTCAGATAAAACGGGAGCGCCTCCATTTGAAGATCCATTTGATCTGTGCAGGATGAACTCCATTTACTGAAACCCCTGATTTAAATTTGTATTTCAAAAGTCAGAACTCAATATCTGCCTAAATATTAATCCACCAACAGGCGCAGACCTACTGATGCATTGGCTGGAGCTCTTTGAAGCCTTTCTTCCTTCGTATGCTTCATTTTTATTTTTTGCTTTAATTTCAGACGCAGTGAAGCTGCGGATTTGATTCCAAAATGAATTTTAACAGGTCTTAGAAAATAAAATAGAGAGACAGAACCTACACGTCAGTCAGAGGAAATGTATTGATTTTTTTTTTAATGTAAACTTGGATTTTATCGCTCGGTTTTTAAATAATGTAGTACAAAAGTGTCCTGCTGTTCAGATAAGAGAGAAAGTGACGTGTTTTCGGGCCAGTGAGCCCTCCAAAGGGGGCGTTAACCCAGAGGAGCTGTGTTTTGTTCTGAAGCCGTCTCATTTGAACCTGTCCTTGCTTTAATCCCCAGGGAGGCGAGAGTCAACAAAGAAAACTCCCTCCGCTGCCACCAAGGACAGCCTCAGCTTCCTCGTTTCTCTCCTCAACAGTAAACAGCCCTCAGAGCTGCTTGTTTAACGCAGAAAGACTCTGACAGAAAAGCCTGGAGGCGCCATCGTCCGGTGGTGACGGCTCCGGCCGGGAGCTGAGACCCGAACGGACCCACAAGGACCGCAAACTCAGCAAAACACGGCTAATAGAAACCACAGCGTTTACTTCTCTGCTTTACAAGAAGGAAGAACTAGCATGAAGACACCATAGAGAGTATTTCAGACATGCTACGCACCTTTACTTTATTTCCAATCCAACAGACAAATTTTACCCATAATTATGTAACAAGAAATCAACTTTAAAGTAAAGCTACCTCATCTGAAAGCATCCCCATGCCAACAGTTCCTCTTTAAAAGCCAGCGGCTGAATAAACAATGACATTAAGACGTATTTTTAATATTTTTCCTTTAAAGGAAAGTTTTCACAAAGTAACTTAACTAAAAGAAAACTATTCCAATGCTGGTGAATAGAACTGTAGGCTTTTGGTGATCCCCCAGGTCCTCCTGAACCCTTTTACTGTTCCAAAAGGGACATTTACAAAGAGAAACATCTGTTTGACAGCAGCTGCTAACAGAATCGTAACTTTAAATGGTAAAGCTCTGGGAGGATTCGGCCCACATCGCTGCTTGACAGCAAAACCTCAGAAGCAAAAGTGACCTACAGCTCAGGTCTGGCTCCAGCAGAAGACACGCACACACACACTAAACCATTAATCCTGTTAGTTCTTCTTACAGGGGCTCATAGCAACAAAGAGACACAACACCAGGAACATATGTCCATTTAGACACACACACACACAAACACACACAAACACACACAAACACAGACACACACAGCTTAACAAGACAATCATCTCAGGAGGAGAAAGGCACTGACCGTGACTTGGGCTGAGAGCCATGTTGCCTGAATTCAGGGCTTCATCAAAGCGAGTGAATATCGTCTGTAACCTGCAGGCAGAGGAAAAACAGACATGCTGTGAGACAGGCGGCGAAACGGGACCCGGTCAGAGAGGCTGCGACCAGGACCAGCCGTCCTGAACGCAGACGGTTAATGGAGGGGGTCCGATCGGCCGGTCTCCCCCTCGCTGAGCGGGTGGGTGTGTCACGCCACACACACAGAAGCAGCCGCTCCAAAACATCCTTCCCCAGAACACACACACACAAACACACACGCCGCCAAAAGCCCGCCATGTGAGGGCCGGCGGGTCCGGTCCGGTCCGGTCAAACCTCTCAGTCTATGACTATAACCGACGCAGATCCAAGCCCCCGAACGCCTCGCGAAGCAGGGACAGAACGCGGACACAACGCCTCCTTTCCTAAAGGTTATTCATGGATACGAGCAAACCGGCCGGAGCATCCCAAAACGCCGTCCTCTACCTTTTGTTTTCCGACTTTTGGCGTCTCCTCCACAGACGCTAAGCGGCTCCCGACGGGGGACACTGAGCGATACGCCTGGATCCCTGGACGCGCATCATTTTCACGTGGCCCCCCTCCTTTCGTTTGCCTTTTTCTTGGTCTATTTGCTTCGGATATATCCAGACGTTGAGCCTTCGGTGTTCTGGGGACTCTGCGTTTTCCCGGTGGTCTGACTAAGAGGCTGCCGCGTTAGCCCCATGCTAGAGTCATGCTCCGGTCCTCGGCTCCCCTCGACTCTTTGTATCCAACATGGTGCAAAGACTCCGAGAGGGAGGGAGGGAAGAAGACGAAGCCAGAGAGGGAGGGCGTATGACAGGGAGGGAGGGAGGGAGGGAGGGAGGGAGGGGGAGCCAAACAGAGAGACCAGAGCAGGCTACAGACATGCGACCAGGCCCCACCTACTGTCACACATTCGCTCCGTATCCTGCACACACACTGGAATCGCTCTTTGAATCGGAGGTAAATCTCAGACAGAGACTTTGTGTGTCTGTGCGACACGGCGGTGTGTGACAGGCAGTGCGGAGATTGGGTTACCCTTTACATAACCCCCCTCCATCAGCCGAGGGGGGAGGGGCCGAGGCCAGAGGCAGACAGAGCGAGGCTGCTCCTCCCCCCTTAGACCGGCGCTCTGGCTGTCATTGAAAAGGGGGTCACCTGTGTCCAGAAAATTACGACAAACAGGAAAAGTGTCACAGTGACACAGTGAGCAGCTGCTGACAGACTAAAGCTCCGAAATGGGCCAATGACAGTTGCACTTTTACTTTTCTCCAGATTTCAGACAGTCAATTAAGACGACGTCTCAATTTGATCCACGACGCTGATCAACAGACGTGCAGCTTTGAAGATTAGATTTTATAAGAGCAGAGCGACTCTTGGCCTATTTTAAGAGGCCGTACTGTTCATGAGATGCTTTTCAGTCTGCTGATTCTGACACAATAGTTAAAAGAATGTACTGAAATGCAGAATGACTGCCGCCTCTCACTGTAAACAGAAACCAGGAACGGGTTCGGCCTCCTATCACAGCATCGGTTAGACCTCTAGATGGACGGACCGGCTTAATATGCACAACACATGACACACGCTCACAGCCAGCATGCTGAGCAGTCGGGATACGACTCTGGGCCCAGCTCAGGTCTCAGACATGGCAGAGGGAGAGAGGCAGAAAGAGGGGCGCACTGTGCTTTATAACCCCCATCCTCACACAGAGCTACCAAAGAGAGACTAAAACCACTCCACGGAGCTCTCGAGATGACTTGAATGCAGATATTTTCTGTAGTTTAGCCTCCGAAACTGCTCTCCCACCCGCTGCCTTTGTGCCCTAGCTGCCCCCCCCCCCCCTTCCACCCTCCTCCCTCAGTCAATCAGCATTGTGCTGTGGATGAAAGTGCCTTTGTGTGAGAGAGGAGCAGAGTGGTGCATGGCGTGGCCTGGGACAGCCACGGGACCGACCGGACCCCAACACAGACACACACAACCACACAGAAACGCCGCCAGTGTTCGGCGGGGGGGGGGCGGAGGAGGGGAGGCTCACCGGGCAGCTGGGAGGCCTCTCTTCCCCAGGTCCACCCGGACCTTCTCTCCGATGTGCCGGTACACGTCCACCAGGGTGGTAATGGAGGCCTCACGCACCTGCAGACAGGAGGAAACCTTCATTTAATAGTCGAACACACACAGAATAGCACTGACGTGACAACAGTGGGGGGGGGGGGGGCGCTGAGCGTTTGTGAAGATTACAGTTCATAATCTTTAATAGTATAACACAGATTACGTTCACTTACACAGACCAAGACTTGTAAACATCAACACCCATTCAATTATAATCCCCTTGAGGGTCCGACCTCCCGTTTTCCCTGGCAGACATTTGATTGGCTTGTTGTGCGGCCCCTGCTGTTGTGATTGGGTGGTGGGAGGTTGTTAAAGGCATTCAACTGTTTCCAAGCGTGGGGCGGCATGTGGGCGGCTAATGATTGGGTGGAGGACAGAAGGAGACTTTAGCTTGGTGCTGCGTTTCCAGGGGAGGCTAAAGGAGGCTCGCTGCATCCTGCACACAGACGCAGCTGCTGTGTGGGTTAAAGACGGGTTTGGGGCTCACGATCCAGCAGCGAATCTCTGGGGGGGGGGCATCTCTTCACTAATAACAGTAATAATCACAAAGCTGCCTACAGATGCCTGTTAGCACTGTCCTCCAAACCACAGGCTCAGCCACAGGACAGAATCACCAGCTATAACTATGGCTTTATAGCATTATCTCAGTTTAGAAAACTGACTTAATATCTCAGGGATATAAATCTGATGCTTTCTCGAGTTTGATTTACACTTGACTCTCTTTCTGAATAAGCTCAGATGACGTAAATACTCAATCAGCTCTCTGTGAACAAACATGGCCGCTTCTTAATGGGAACAGGCCTTAAATAAACAGTCTTTCCCTTCTGTTTCAAAAGCTTTCTTAAATTAAACCGTTTTAAAAAGGAGTGATGGAAGAATCTGGAGACAATGTTTACTGACTGTCTGCAGACAATGGCTGTAACCCCCTTAGTGACTCTGCAGGGGGTGGGGGGACGTCCATCTGACATCTAACAGCAAAACACGCTTTGTTTCTCACCTGTGGGTTTTGGTCTCCGCTCAGAGAGCAGAGATGAGGAACTAATTTACTGAGGCCGAGCGACTGGGCTCCAAACCTAAAAAGAAAAAGAGTAAAGAACAAATTATACAACCACTTAAAGAAATGTTAACCCTCACACAACACATTTCCAGAAAATTGGGAAATGTATCTTATGTCATGCAGAATGAGTTTTAAGAAGCTTTATATGTCCCAGAGTACAATCAAAAGCCTTTAAACACATCGATATCCCCCCACAGTATCCGGCTATTTAAAATCTCTACTTCATACAAAAAAAAGAAAAGAGGAAACGATAAAAACTAATATTTTGTCATTTCTGTGGAAATATTGACAATGAGCAACATGAGGAAGCTAAAACAACAGAATGACTTCAAAAAGTCTTTATATAAAAAAAAAAATACTCGAAAGGTAATAAAACTCAACAAATTCCTAAAGGCCTCTGTTTGTTTCACAGTAAGTCTGCAGCTAATTAAACTGTCAGCAGAAGACGTCTGCTGGTTGTAGGTTTAGTCCGTTTCTATTTCAGTAGCAGCTAAGAATCCAGCACAACAGTGTCACGTTTTATTAGCAAACAGGCGCAACATTTTGCAAGATGATTCCAGCTGTGAGGATTTGCTGCGTTTGCTAGTTTTTAAGTGGAAAATCCTGCTGTCGAACGAGCATCCATGTAGTCTGAGTCATTTGTGTGATGACACAGAGCTCGTAAAATCCAGGTCAACAAACACACGAACGGCCTGGCGATTCCCGGCGTCTTCGGTGGGACGTTAGAGGAGAAGACATCCTCTCAGAACTCGCCGAGGCAAATCAGGCCAAACTACGTCTTTAAAAACACACATTTCTACCTCCTAACTCATGACAAAAGCACGGAGGCCGCTGATTTCCTGCAAGCCACTTCAACAGAGTGCCACAAACAGCTAAGAGGATTAATCCTGAAGACAGAGGACATGTGTGTGTTTCTTGAACAAAGTGGGTCATTGAAGGTGGCAGCAAAAGCCCTGCCGACTGGTAAACGCTCCTTTTCTGACCCCCCCACTGGAAGATTTAGAGATCTGTCGGAACATATCAGAGCGCTCCCTTTAAAGACGGGAGCATGAGGCCTGATACTCACGTGCCGATGGTGGCGCTGAGACAGAGGCAGATCCCCTCACGACTGCGGAAGTTTTTGTGTTTGAAGCCAGGAAGCAGCCTTTCCCAAACATACTGGATAAAGGAATGAGAAGGACAAAAGTATGAGGGGGGGTGGAGAGAGCGGGAGTCTTCGCTGAGGTCGAGTTATCAGATGCTGGGAAGGTTACAACCAGAGAAAATAGGCATGTTTGCTCTGTGTAAACAACCCAAAACATTGGGGGCATGGAGCCTTTGCAGTTGCTTTAACATCCAGGGGAGGGGGCTAAAACAGAGAAACTCGGCTGTAGTGAGAATAAGCAGTATGTGGAGGAGGAGTGGTGTTATGTTTAGTGTCTCTGTTCTGCAGCTTAGACGTGCATTCAACAAAATAAAAATAAGAAAAGGAAGAAGAATGATCTCCTTCAGTCCAGTTCAAAGATAGAAGAAGACGACGAAGGAGTAGAAGTAGAAGACGAAGGAGTAGAAGGAGACGAATAAGGAGTAAAAGAATAAGGAGTAGAAGAAAAAGACAAAGGAGTAGAAGAAGAAGAAGAGAAAGGAGTAGAAGAAGAAGACGAAGGAGTAGAAGAAAATGAAGAATGAGTAGAAGAAAAAGAAGGATGGAAAAAAGAAGAAGACTGAGTAGAAGAAGAAGAAAAAGAAGGAGTAGAAGAAGAAAGAGGAGAAGAAAAGCAATACGAAGGAGTAGAAGAAGAAGAAAGAGGAGAAGAAAAAGAATACGAATGAATAGAAGAAGAAGAAGAAAAAGAAGAAGAGCCACAATGAGCATTAATCAGATGCTGCTTTCAGAAATAACTAAATAAACAAACGAGACTTGATCCTGACTAATCTCTGTGTGTCTTTCTCCTAAAACAGCCAGTCGCATCTTCCATTTACGGCGGTGGCGTCTGTGTTTCTCACCGCGGGGGAGGCCGTCTGCTCCATGCAGCGCAGGATGAGGCTCTGGCTGTTCTCCCGGACCTGGTCCTTCGCATCGCCCAGCCGGTCCACCAGCGCCGGCAACACTAAAGAGCAGGAGAGAGGACAGAACCAGAGAGACGAAAAGGACACGGGAATTAATACAATTATTCAGCGTTAGGTTTGTTTCTGTGACAGAATTAAAAAAGAAAAAAAATACAAAAAACAGGCCGCAGACGACATTGAAACTTTACAGGATTTCAGTGTGAAAGATAATAAATAAAGCCTGCCCCCAAGTGGAGCCCTTCACACACACTTTAAAACAGCTCATGTCCAGATCAGAAACAGAAACCCAACTCAATACAGAAGTTTAAACCACTGACGCTTGGCTCTGGCAGACAGAGGGTAGGAAAAAAGAGGGCAGGAAATGAGAAGTGGACCGTGACTAAAATATAGTGGAGATCATCCACTGCTGTCATGTCAGTGGGCCTAAATGATGCTGTGGCAGAGTGGGAGAGCCTTTAAAATGTGGATTTTTTAAGTGTACTATAAGGAATGTCAGCAACTCTCACCCTCCAGAACAAAAGCTTTATGTATTCAAACGTAAACATTGTTCAACCTTTGAACCACAAACCTGTTCACAATACTTAAGAATCTGTGTTTTCCTCACAAAAACAGCAGATGCTGTGTTTATGTGCACAGAGCCTGGCTAAACTTAATTTTTTGGAGCTACACATCTCCATGTTTTTCTGTATTCTGACTTACTTTCATCCATCAATGAACCGCTCTGTAATAAATGTGCAGCATCTGAATAATCTCGACTCAAATGAGTGACATGTTTATCGTTTGACCCTTTTTGAAAATGAAGCCATGTGTTTGTGAGCAGTATTTAAAGTCTCTGCTGATTCCAGTGGCTATCTGGACGGCAGCTAAGGATTAAGGTTTGACCTTTAATGGGATTTGTTGGCGCTTCTGGAAATATGGGACACAGAAAGCCTGATGCTTCAACATGAGGTCCAGAAGAGGGCGCGGACAAAGGTTTCGACTCCCTTTGACATCACCACGATGAGAGCTAACACACACACACACACTCTCTCTTTCTCACACACAGACACACTCACTCACACACACACTCACACACACACACACACACACACTCCTACCCACATTCCAAGTCTGAAACATCAGTGGAGGGAGTGATACAGTGATGTCATCGGCCCTTTTCCTGTGTCCATGCCTCTGTGTGCGCGTGTGTGTGTGCGTTATGATACCGTAACAGCTGGTTGCCTCGGCAACAAAGACAACAGCATCAAACACAAAACCCGACAGTGGGGGCATTGTTTCACGCGACCACGTCACTTTCTGTAGTAAAAACGGGCGCCGTTCACCCACATGTGAAGGCTTGGGGAGCCCAGTGGCCGGAGGAGGTCTGGGCCTCTCACCTTTGACCTTTGACCTTTCACCCTTCTCAGGGCAGCCTCCGTCAATACACAAACACCACACACATTTACAATATCAGACCCTTCTACGGATCAATACAACCACTCAGCCTCAGTGACCTCATCCTGCTCCGCTCTGTGTGGGTGGGGGTGTGTGAGGATGGTGGGAATCTAATTGATGGAGGCATTTCAGGGGACAGAAAACGACTCAAAACAGGATTTTACCAGCAACCCAAAGCACACTCTTCCCTCACACCAGCAAACACGGCTTAACTTTGACATTGTCCTTCACTAGGAACGGACGGTGTGTTTGGTGGTGGTAATCCTGGAGGTGGACGGCGGGCTGCGGTCAGTCTGGCTGACCTTAACAGGTGGGGGCACCTTTAAGCTCTGAGACTATCAGGGAACTGGGTGATATGCGGCAGGGGCAAAGAGAGGAGGAACACGGTGTGGAGGGAAAAAGAGGGGAAGACCTCTGCTGCTGGTGAGTATCAGAGGAAGCATAAAGTGGAAGTGAGAGACAAAATGGAAAGACCTACGCACCAAAGTCAGAAACCACTCAAAAACTGTGGTCTGGTGGAGCAAAATGTAGCTAAGTGTTGGTGAATTTCTTTAAATTCCAGTTTGGTAATGACCATTCATACCAAATGAAGACGATAAACAAAATGATCTTTGAACTCGACGGAAAGAGATCATTTTAGTTGCTAACACACAAAAAGACACACTGAAAACGGAGTGTGTGCAGGCTATGAAACAGGTTTCTCCACTAAACACAACACAATGTTTTCTTTGAGGAACCGAAAATGAAAAATCCCTTTGACATTTGTGTGGAAGCTCATTCAAGAAAAATGACAAAAATAGAACAGCATGAAAGGTTTTCCCCTTTTTCTCTTTTGAGATCTCACCTGTGCCGAGGTATCCTTTGAAGCGCTCTCCCAAGCGGTCCACAAACGCACCACAGATGTCAATTCCCAACAACGCCACCTTTGACACACAGAGAAAGAACAGACTGATGTTAGAGCTGGTCACACACACCAGAATATGAGGATTTTTTATGACATTCTTACAGATATGCAACAGTTTCTGCTGTCCTTTCCAAAATGAACCAGGAAACGGGACAGGAAGTCAAGCAATGTTGAGCATTTGTGAGTTATTCCTCACACTATACTGGGAATGACAACTGTACGATACAGAGAGAATCCAAAACAAGCTTCCAGAGTTGTGCGGATGAGCCTCTTTGTGTGGAAAACTGACCCAAATACCAAACCGAGCTGGCAACGCAAAGTTTAAAATAAAACAGGAAGTAATCCCACTTTTTACCGTGGCTGTATGTCAGATGATGTGTGTCGATTCAGCCCTACTTTTATTTCCCTTCTGAAGGAAACACAAACTCAAATTTAAACTTGGGAATCATAAAAACTGGGGTGAATAAGACATTATGATGCATGCATGTTCGCGAAAGCCAACCTCGATAAGCCTCCTCAGTCTCAAAATAAAAACTTGCTTGAGTATATCGATATTTCTGTCTACAGGCTGACTTTTTCCACTGTGTTTCTGATTAGGATCACAGCCCCACACTGCGCTCCACTCCTGGAATGCTTTTGTTGGCAGAGCCGTGGTAAAAAATCCATTTGAGGCTTATTTGCCAGACTCTCTCCCACGTGGCGTCGGGAGGAAAACTGCAGCTTTTCCCTATTTTAGTCAAAGGGACAGCGAAGCCAGGTACCCACAGAAACCAGACAGGGGGGGGTTCAGATAAGATGAGGAAAACAGGGCGAAGGGAAAGCCAAGAAGCAGCACAAAAAAAACTAAAAGTACCTGGAGAAGCAACACGAGCCTCTGGTCAGCATGACTCTCGCTCACGCCGACCTCATTTAAAGGGGAAGTGAGGGAGAGAGGAACAACAGCAGGAGGGAGGAAGAAAAATCAGCAGAGGATGGAAACATCCCCCGGGCCTGTCCTCCCCCTCCTCCAACCAGCACCCCGACAAGCGCCCACAACCATCTGCTATCATCTCTGAGACACAGAGAGGTGACGGAGGATGAGAGATGACTGAGCTCCTTTCTAGATTTCACACAGAGGCAAAAAAAACAAAGAGCCTCCTCCTCTGCTCACCTCCATCCATAAAAAAACAAATACACAAAACACAGATTAAAGCCAACTTTGGCTATGAGAGGAGAAAAGGGGAGGGGGCCACTTTATAATGCACTAAAGTGAAAATCCTGAACTTCGTAGTAATGCTGTCACATGCTCTCTAACACATATTCATCACTTGTTCTGAAGACTGGAAGCTCCAAAATGTGAGGCTGGCTCTGAGTGCAGGAGCATAAAAACATGAATGGTTCTTTGTGAGGGCTCAGGTGGGAGCGAACGGGGGCTTAGCCTTATAATCAGCATACCATGTACAGGGTTTAGTCTAGATTTTAAGAGAAGCTTAAATGGAGTTTTAGATGGGATGGAGAAAACAGGGAACAAGTCTCACCCAGCACTGAAGGCTGCAAGCAGAAAATGCTGAAAGATTAAGATCAAACTGAGAGAAAAGTATCTAAAATGAAGTATCAGTGGCTGAAGAAATGTTTCTGTCATTTAAATAAAAATGCTCAATTATAACCCAGTTCTCCTCGTTCCACAATAATCACAAAAGACGGGGCCTTAATGTTAATGGAAGCAGAGTGGAAAAATATGACATAACTGTTACTGTGCCCAGGGATTTGGACCATCTGTAGCTGGCACCTGTAGCTCTGCCCCTGACCACTAATCCACAGCTGATGATGCAACCAAAACACGGCCAAAAGCAGGCCGAGAGCATGATGCTCTCCTTCTGCTGCAAATAGACAAACTCCCCAAACGGCTGTGGTGAACCAGTCCCGGCAGCTGCTTCCCACAACGCCGCATTCGATTGTCTTCACTGGACGGTTTTTCCTCTGAAGCCCCGGAGGAAAGCGCTGGGTTTGGAAAACAGTGAGCGGGCAGCGAAACAGCTTCAGCGTTCAAGGGGAAACCTCAATGTTATCCCAAAGAGTCTGGACAGAAACTGTCATAGAGACAGGATAAATCTGATATTCATAGATGGTTCTATAACTAAAAGCCCGGCCTCTGAAATCAGAGTGCCAGATTCAGCCATCGATCAGAGCAGGAAGCGTCCAGCCGGCTGAGCCAGCGTTTATAAAGCATGAAATATTCATGCTCCCTGTTTGCAGGCTGCGTTTGGGCCCCACCAACACAGAGACGCTGCTATGCAAGTCCAAGGTCAACGCTTCCCACTAGGCTGGTCCCGATCCGATATCTGGATCCGATCGCCCGCCGATATTTGCAGAAAAATGCGTATGGAAAATGCAGATCAAGACTCCAGATCCAGTTTTTTTCCAACATTAGCATTAGCATCTCCAAACCCACAGGTCTGTGTTCCAACCATTAAGTTGTTACAAAAGTGTAAATCCCTGTTCAACATGAGTCTGACCACTAAATAACTTTAAACTTTACTACATGCTCTAAAAGGCCGGTATCGGAAGTGCTAAAAGTTGGATCAGGACATCTGTACTTCCCACCGAAAGAAAGTTTGGGTCTGTTCCTTTTGGCTCGGCTGGATCACCGGCTGATGTGATGACAAAGGTGATGAGGTTTATTTGCTTTTATAGAAAGCACCACGTTAAAACAATGACCTGTCAAAGTCCATGTTTACTGTGCCATTCAGAAGAGACAGAAACAACCAGACGTCACTGGAATGAGGGCCTGCAACGAAACCACGACTGTCTAAGAATGTAACGCCGGCTGGATCTGAGAGCTGCTAAGACCTCATTTAAACGATATGCTGAGTCGGCCAGTTCAGGGCGCTGCCGACGCAGAACTGTTAACTAAGTGAATTAGCTGAGGAGGGAAATAAGCAAAGGGACGGAGGACAAACCACATCTGCTGCTGGCAGCTCACTAAGAGCAACAATCCCCGATAACCGTAACGGTCCAGCTTCCTCTCACAGTTCGCTCTGACTACAAAGATGATTCATATTCCCAATTCCCCCATTAAGTACTTCCTGAATCCTCCCCCTCATACCATCTTTCATATTTCATATTCTTATAACTCACTAAAATGCAGGTGCATCACTGTGACCTCAAGTTACTGCTGTCCAAAATGGAAACTGTGCTTTTGGCTTTCATAACATGGACATGAGCTCATGTTCCTTCATTTGTTAACGCTACTGTTTTAATCAAGACTTGTTTCATAATTACAATTATTTTTTTGTAATTATTACATGCAATGAGTCGACTCTTCATTGACAAAACAGAATAACAGCTACATAATACACAATCTTGTGCTTTTTCTATGAATTGCTCTCCAGTTAATGCAAATGTATTTATTCAAATTTAAACTAGAAGTGCTTTCAGGGCTCTGAATGAGGCCTTGTTGTAAAATACTTTCCACTTCATAACTTTCCCTCATATCATACACAATGTTTATCTGCTGAAAAGCAACTTGGGAGTCGGATTTCTTCCCCGTTTAACAGCGACTTCAGACTGTTTTGACTGCTCAGCAAAAATCTCCCATTCCAGATTTTCTTTTTGAGATATGAAACAAGAGCTCAGCTCAAACAAGTCCACCCCTCAAAGGGAAAGTCCAGAGACAAGAAAAAACCAACAGGACGGATCAAATAGAGAAGAGAATAAAATAAGCACGAGAGGGATGGATGGAGAAAAGCATGGGTTGGACAATGAGGCTTCCAGCCCCTCCCCCACGAATACTGGAGTAGTCCAGGGTGCCACAATAGCTGTTCTCCAGTCACAACAAACCACAAGAATGTCCTGCTGCAAAAGCACTTATCTGTCATTTGGAAGACTTTTAACAATGTCTGTCTCCAATAGTGCAGAATCAGACTGCTGGGTTACATTTAAAAAAAGAAGCAGTCTTGGTTCATGTTGGTTTTGTTGACCAAATGGGCAAAAAACAACCCAAAAAAGATGTAGTTATTCATATTTCTTTAGATGTAAATGTAAATTATTTGTCTCTGCTCGGGTTTTGAGTGAAATTGATCTATGGGATTAGATAAATGTAATCGCTCCCCTCATGGAGGTTAAACTGGGATGATGCTAGACTCACACAGCAAAAAAATCTCCCACCTTGAAATTGCTGGCGTTCACCCATCCCGTTAGCTCATCGATGGTCTTATCCAGGCGGGCTTTGTCCTGCTCCACGTCCGGGGAGCGGTGAGGGTCGTTCAGGTATTCAATGAGGTCCTGGCCGACCTGCAGTCTGCGGCTAACGTCTTTCTGCTGTACCTGCTGGTAAAAATAGTCCATGTTGTCATGGTCCTCCATTGGGCACTCAGTGCCGGGTGGCCAGCCACTGGAGCCAGCCAAAGACGGGGGACGAGGTCCGGCGGGACGGGCCGGAGAGGACTTGAAATGTTAACTTCTGTCCAGTGGAGGGGCAGAGAGACTGGGCGACGTCTATCCGAGGTGTAATCCTCAACATCCAAAGCAAAAAAATCCAATAAAATCAATGGCTTTTCAATATAAATCACCCCAAAGCACGAATCAAAAGCTCGACTTTGTTACTTAAGCAAAAGTGGTCGTTGGTTTGTCTTCTTTCACAACGAATGTGTAGCTGGAAATAAAACTAAAAACTTGGCATAACTTTACAAAACGTGTAACTGTAGGTGGCAAAGGCAGGATCCGTCAAAGCATCCGTATGAAAACAAGCTAGCAGATGCGATTTGCCGTTTGTTATGCTAATAAAAATAGCACCTAGCTAGTTAGCACGGCGGCCAATGCAAACAGCTCCACATAGGCTAGCTCGGCTAGCTAATGCTAACGCTAACGCAGGCCCAAAGCCTGACTCCGCTCGCTCCTCTACTTCATGACCGCTTGGCTTCAGTCTTTTCCGGCCGCGGACTCCGCCAGGAGGAAAGTTTCTCCAAACTTCCACAACGAAAAGGCGGATCCCTTCCCCCAGGAACCGGTTTCCGTTCAGTCCGGGAGTAATTACTTTTTGCAACTAAAACCTTCGGGAGGCGCCGAGAACCTGCGCGTTGCCGGGGACTGCGGTTCACCGGGGGGGTGCAACCGATCAACGATCGGCCCGTTGGGTCCTCGGGCGCCGCACAGCTGGCCAACGCGATGCCTGATGGAAAATAAAATATAAACATTACACCGATCTACTCGGCGCTATTTTAACGGGAAAACACGCATAGTGATGAAATATGGTTAGATCCATGGTGTCTACGTTTAGGTTTCTAATGTTTTAAAAATATTCGTCGGTACTGAGCACGTTTCTGTGGGCGTGCCCGCTTTTTACGCGGCTCTTCGGTGACATCTAGCTGCTGAAGTTCCGCAGAGCTCGTATTAAATTTGACGCAGTTTACCATGAAACAAACCCGTCAAGTACCAGAAGAGAAAATCTCACACTTTAGAGACGATATATATTTACTATTAGTCACCTTTATTTATTCATTTGTTCATGTATTTCTTTATTTTCTTAAACAGAAAACTGTTAAAACGGCTGTCAGAGGACATTAGTATCACAGCCATGCGTCCAGATGCCCTCTGACTCTCCTCATATTTCCACCCGTTTCCATAAGTCCTATCCATCGTCCTGCCAGTCTCCCCAGTCATTGAGCACTTGGCACTAAATAGCATTTGCCAGTTTCTTTTTATTAGAATATTACAATCATATTTTGTTGTATTTTAGTTCTTGAAGTGGCGGCTTTCTTATCCAGGGAAACAGCCATGACAGACCTGTAGGAGTATAAAACTACTTAACTGATGCTTCATGGGCCATACAATCCCACTGTATCGTTACTGTAATGTTCTGTAGCAATAGGAGGGAATATGTTAAGGATCAAATAAATCAATTTGATTTCTAAAAAAAAATCCTGATGTGCTGTTTAAGGGTTTTAAGCTGTTGGAGTAAAAAAAAGAAAAAAAAGGAAGAAATAAATCACAGCCAAATTTGTAATATCATTCGCAAGTAAATTGACAATTAGACAACACTATTCTAAATAAACTTTCAAATACTGAAATTCACATGATTGTCAAAAACTTGAGGTGCTTTTGCTTACAGTCTTATACAAATGACCTTGGCTTTTTGCAGGTTTCCATCTCACTTCAGGTGCAAAGTCTGGCTCTTGTTCTGATTGATACAGACAACAATAATTCTGAGTAATGGACATTACGGTCCACTTAAAAGCAGTGGGTTTGCCACAGTTTTTCAGTGCTGCAAAACTATTTGGACTAACGAAGCAGTGGGCCAACTGGAAACCCACTGATGTAAACAGGTTAGTCTGTAGTGCTAACATAATCTGTGATGTAAACAAATGCTTAAGTGGTCAAGTCGGGGATAGTTCACAGGGTTACTGACAGGATTGGATCAGGGCCTATAGGCTAACATAACCAGATATTTCACAAGAGGCCACTAATCCAAGCAGCATACAGTGTCAACAGAATGCTTTTCAACACTCAGGGTCTAATCCGAAGGTCCTGCACACGAACCGTTTTTCTTTTACAATTAAAAAAAGAAGGACAAGCATACATCCCCTCCGAATAGACAAGCATGGACAATTACAACAAGCACTGAAAACAGGAAAGAATTGTTTTGTTTTTTTGTCGGCTTCTCAAATTCTGAGCGAGTTGCTGTAAGTGTTTTTTCTTCTTTTTTTAATGCAAAACATTTTTCTGTACAAACAGAATCCAAGTTTTTCAGATGCACTGTTATGTCCTGTTTCGTACTTCCTGTTCGTCCCGACTCATCCACGCGGTCAGAGCCTCTCTGACGATCCGCATTACGCCGTCAGCCCTCATTTCCCTCCATGCCGCTCGTCTATTGGTCGTAGCAGAGTAAATCACAGGATGGTCACATAGAGGTGGCATGTGATTGGTTGAGATGATACTCCACAGAGAGTGAATTGTTGTCCAAGATGAAAAGATCATCACTTCTTTTTCTTTTTTTTTAATTTAATTTAAACAGAACGCATTCAAGTTTCCCCGTCCAGACCGTCCATTTGCAGCCATGTAGATGCAATTTTTTCACACCCAAAGATGGGAGTAGGGGGTGTGAGGAGGAGTATGGAGTGGAGAGCCTGTTTGTCTTTCCAGGAAGAAAGAAAGAAGGATGCAGATAGAGAAAAAGAGAGAAAGCTCCACCCATTTGTGTCTTCTCCCTCCACTCCCTCCGTGCCGTTGACCCCCGGTTGAGTGGTGAGCCAGAGGAGAGAGGAGGGGCGGTTTCAACTGATCAGGGACCAGTGGCATTCAGTTTCTGTATTGATCAGTGATCAGGAGCAGTGAGTGGGTCCAGCCCCTCCTCTCCCCAATGCCACCTCCCCCAGCCCCCCCCCCCCCCCCCCCCTCAGAGCAGCAGGACCTGCAGACAGAGGTGGCCCCCCCTGGCTCTCCACTGTCAGAGGATGATGCAGCAGCGGCACAGACGCTGGCCGCCTCCGTGTACGGAAGGGGGGGGGGTCACCGGGGCAAAGTAGGCGTGGACCTTGATTTCAGGAAGGTGGGCCTGTGTGGGGAAGAGATATATGGATGAAAAAGACATTCAATATTTAGTCTTCAAAACAGAAGACAAGCAAGATGATTCTCTGTGAAAATATGTGGGAATAAAATACAGTTTTTTTTGCAGAAACATGAGCAGACTTAGGTTTCTCACAGTGGACATGAATGTGTTTTTCCTTAAAGAGCTTCAGTGATGCATTGAATAAAAGCTATTCCCCATCATGTGACAGAAGTCTTGGATGGAGTTTTGTATTTGAGTTTATTCACCAGTATAGCTGTCTGTGTTCAAGTTTTCATCCCCACAGAGAAAAGTCCGTCTGAGAAATCATCTTCAAGCATCTAACCTTTATTTTACCTGAAGTATGTTCCAAATTCCTCTGGTCAATGTGATGAACAAACATTCTTCCACGCGGAAGAATGAAAATAATTTTGTCGTGGTATTCATGTCCACAATGAGAGAAAAAACTTTATAATATGTATGTCAAAAGAAATCTATTAAATTTATGTAACATTAAATTTAAAAGCAGTTTTAATTTAAATCAATAGGGACTTCTGAATTTTTCTGTAAAAGCTGAACAAAGGCACTTTTAAAATAAAAAAAATAAAAACAAGGATACAGTGTGAACGGTTTCCATGGCGACTGCTAACCCTGATGCGCTTGATTCCAGCTCTGGTGACCTGCTGACAGTCGTAGAGCTCGATGCGCTCCAGACGGTGGCAGCTCTTCAGGTGCTCCAGGGTCACGTCGGTGATGAGGGGGCAGTTGTCCAGCTCCACCACCGTGAGGCGCTCCTGCCCACAGGTGCTGCTGCTCAGAGCCCTGATGCCATCGTCCGTGATCAGCTCACAGTGGGACAGGGACTGCCCGGGGCACAGGGACACAGTGGAAGGCACACGGATAAATGGATCTAGCAACACTTGAGCGTACCGCTAGGCTGAAAAGGGTCCTGGCACAAAAATCAGACCTGCAGGTGTAATGTTTACCAGTGCTTGCAGACGTGGGCAGTGGATTGACAGCTGAACCAAGGTGTTATCTGTCACCTGAGGAGAGGACAGGCTAGATTAGCAAACCGCTATCACATATCCAGGGACAGCCGAAAAGCTCAGCTCTCAAGTGTTTTAAAACATGTGGCTTCAGAATCAGACTGACTGTCTCATACTTTTATCCATTTTTAAGACATCTAAGTATTATAAAACTGCAGAGCTGACTCCTCCTGACAAGGAAAATACTACTGATGCACACTATCATATCTATCCTCTGCCTACAGTCCAACCGTAGAACAGTAGAACCCAATAATACTAAAAAAAATACTTCATAGATTAATAACTTGGGAATAAATAGGGGAAGCAGGGATTCTCTTACCAAAATACATTCTTCTAAGTCCATTTTTTCAAGCTCATGGCAATTCTGTGAGAATAAATAGAAAACTTTATGACTCGGGATTTTGTTCGGTTCAGACACAGTGAGACAGAATGTGCGGTTGTCCTCACCCAAAAAACAAAAAAAGCCTGTATTAAACTTACTCTGGCGAGCACAGTGAACCCAGCATCTGTGACATGGGAGCATCGTGCAGCTTCAAGGATCCTTTGAACACAACACAACACCTGTGAAGGCCACTTGGAGCAGGCAGCAGTGAGCCACCACATCCAGGTTTACTGCCATCATGGGTTTGATAACAGCTCTACTTTTTGTATTCAAATTAATTAGTTTTATTGTAAAAGATTGAAGGGCAGGTGTACGCGTGTTTGTTCTTACTTCAGTCTGGGACAGTTGAGTCCCAGTGCAGTGAGAGAGGCATCGGTGATGTTACTGCAGCCGGACACGCAGAGGACCTGCAGCTTGTGGCATCCTCGGCACAAACTGACCAGGCCATCGTCTGTTATTTGCTGGTGGCAATAAAAACAAAAACGAAAAAATGACAAAAACACACAGACAGAACCTCCAAACATTGCGTCCAATCAGTCCGTGTCTGCATCCAGCGGAGTGTTTGGCTTACTGTGCAGGACTGCATGTTGATGGTGGTGAGTTCAGGGCAGTGTTTCTGTAGTTGCTTCAGAGCTCCGTCCTCCAGCTGGAGCCACAAGACAAGAGCACATTCATCAGTTAAGATATAGATCTACAATCCATCTATTCAAGTCACTGTCAAGACTTGAAATACCAGCAGCTTTTCTCTAATAAACAGGCCTTTTCTCATTATTTATTTGTGGAAATGGTCAAAAGTAGTATTCATTTGTGAAATGTTTTCACAAAGGCTGATTTGCAGGGGTTTAGTGATTCCTTTACCAAGTAAGAAACACAATCTATACTTAGATGAGAAAACAAATGAGCATATAGCCTGAGGAAAATGTTGGTCCTAGAGATGGGGCAGAATAAAAAATACCAGCCAGACATAAACCACCACTGCTGCAAGAAAAACAACTGATAAGATTATAACACAAGTAAGAAGCCTAAAATACCATGGGAAGGATGGAAAAACCTCCTATGTTGGAAGAAAATGTGTGGGAAAAGGGCAGGGTTCATTCCACAAGGTCTGCATATTTTCCGTGTCCTGTGAGCTGGCTTGTTATTGAAAGGTAGTTTTTAGATTTTTGTTTGCCGTTTGCTTCAGTTTCTTCATGTCAGTGTTTTTTTCTGAAGCTAAAGCACATTGTGAGAATTATTTGAGGCTTTTATGAAAGCAAAATACATTTTGATGCACCTGTTGATCAATTTATGAACTTTACAGAAAAGCCAAACATTATCCAAGAAATGTGTCAATAATAAACATAATATATGGTACACAGACATAAGGGCTATTTGAAAAGGACATTCCTTCTTAAGAGTGGCCTAACCTAAATAACTGGGGCATACCTGTGTGCAGCCTCTGAGAAACAGTGCTCGTAAACAGCTGCAGCCTCTGGCGAGGGCCTCGATGCCATCGCGCGTGATCTGGTCACACCACGACAGGTTCAACGTCTCCAGCATTCTGCAGCCATCACTGAACAATACCCACATTTTACAAAGGAAAAAAACGGGTTCTTAGGACTGTTGTGGGTCTGAGGGGAGAAGAAGGGCTTAATTCTGAGTCAGTAAACAGGCTTGTGCTGGAGGTCACTGTCGGAGGTACCTGAGGGCTTTGAGGGAGTGGTTGCTGACGGACACACAGGAGGTGAGATCTAAGTGTTTGAGCTTGGAGCAAAACTTGCTGAGACTGAGGCAGGTGCTGTCGGTGATCTTTGTGCAGCCGTTCAGGTTCAACATTTCAATGTTTCTGCAGTTCTGAGCAAACGTCCTGAAAAAAAAGATGCACGGTGAGGAACGAGAACGGGAATTTCTCAAGAGGTAATTCACTAAATAAGTATAAACCTGAGGAGTTTCACATGTTGCTGCTAAGCGAGGCTTCATTCTCTGCTTGTCCTCCTTTGAATCCATAGCTTATAGATGACATAGAAGTCTTTTAATGAAACTATATGTCAAAAGATATAATCATTTATTTATAAAGAAAATTCCATCACCCTGTCTCTACTTTTCTGTTTTCTTGTGGTACATACAAATTAAGATTAAATTGAATTCAACTGAATTACACTACCAACAAACAGCAATTAAACCTGCAAAGAGCAGGATGATTTTTGGCAAAAGTCTAAGCAAAAGCACACTTATTACATTAGTCAGAGTGACAATGAGAGTCTCACTTCATGGAGGCGTCTCCGACGCTCAGGCAGCCCCGGAGGCTGAGCTGCCTCAGGAAGCCGCCACATCGCTTTGAAATGTTCTCCACCACGCGCCCCTGAGGGACACAGGGACAGGCAAAGAAAAGCAACATGACTCGGGCCACCGGCCGGCAGATCAGCTGTGACGTCACCGTCCACCACCGAAGCCAACTGACCCAGCTCTAAGCTGGAGGTGGATAATGCTACTCAGCAGGCGCTCACACTCACACAGAAACGGGCCGGCTCTCACACACAGGCGCCGGCCGCCCCGAACCTGCGCTGCTGCGCCATTATAAACACACTCCTCACCTCTATGTCTGTCTGGAAGTTGAACAGGTCGATCTTCTGCCAGTTGCTGCCATCTAGGGCCAGGACGTTCCACGCCTGAGAGGGGCACGCACAGGTTGTGGAAATAAACACAGAATTGGGTCAGACAGAGGTGGAAGAAGGTGAAAGCAAAGGCAGGAATGGTCAAACTTAACCGGCCAGCAAAGGACTGGAGCGTTCCCGAAATATAGATTGAATCTGCTCGTTTTATAGTAAATCAGCCACCCTAACCTGCATCTAACTTTCTGAATCATAAGCTTGTTTTAGTTCATATCTTTTTAAAAAGCTGTCTGTTACAGTGCACTGTGACAAAACCAGCAGATGGCACTATGTATTAGACATTTCTAGAGAGTTCAGTAATGTTAAACTGGTTTTACTTTATCCACAGGCTAAAGGATTAGAGCAAGCCACTTATTCTAAACAATAGGTCCCAGTGGGTTTGTCCAAAAAGGGGCTAGATACTAACCTTGGATACCTGTGCACACCTGCAGAGTGTGACCACGTCTAGATAGGAGAATATTCTGGAAAGAGAGGTAAAAGGGTCATGAATTTCTCTCTGACAAACACTCATTCTCAGACAAAGAGCTCTGTTTCAAACCAAAGTTGATGTGGGAATATTTTGTCTTTTGTGTTGCCATAGAGTGGTGAACAGGCCATGTGTTTGACGGCAGCAGCAGCAGAAACCCAAAGTTGGGCAGAGTTTGAGTTAAAGGCCAGTCAGCCACAAAGGGCTGCATGCAGCATGCTACTGGGTCAGCTCAATCCATTAATCTGCCAATGAGTAATCTCTGGCACTCAGACAGGCAAGGCCACCAGCAAGCTGGGACAGACTGACAAACAGTATTTACATGTGCATGACCCCACACAAATACATGGAACTGAACATACAAGTCCTCACATTTCTCGGTGATTTACAAAAAAAAAAAAGGCCTTTTCATGCTGAGAGGGCTGACTTGAAGCGGCGATCTATAGAAAATGAGGTATTCAGAGAGCTGTCACGGTGCCAAAGCTTAGAGTGCAGCTGGGGTCTGAATGTCCTTTTAACCCTTGGGAACAGGAGCCGGCCATTGTTTCCTTCGTATAGACGAGGACAAAGGCTGTGTGTTTTGATGTGTTAGGCCGGGGCAAGTCAGAACACGTCTGTGTAATCTATACCACAGCGTGTGTCCTGCCTACAGCAGATTGAACCGTCCTACAACATAAGCACACATGTGACATGCGTGCCCTTCCATACAGAGAAATAAACATACAGCAATGCGTATGGATTGGGCCACAAACCACCAGGATTCATTGATCTTCCCTTCTAATAACTGGTAATTTGACCATGACGCTGATCATTGAGCGAATGTCTGTTTTAATCTAATACAATCTCACTTTCCATTATGTGTGTCAGGGGTCTCTTAACAACCACAGAAATATCCGGTTAATCATACTCACAAGAAAGCAATGAGTTAATCTAATTTGATGATTGCTATTCTGAGCCCTGTTAACATATCTGACATTTGTGACTGACAGCTGAATTTAAAGGCCATGAAGGGGTCGGGATAAAGACCTACACCTTTAAAACTGACATGGACACTTTCATATAACAGGAGACAAAACAGGGGAAACGATGCAGACATTTTAACAGGAACAGGATAATTGGTATTATAACTTTTTCACCTTATCAAACTCAAGAAACTGCCTATATAGCCTTAATCACAGATTCAGATTCCGCTTGATTTTGCCTATCTTTTCCAGACAGGGTTTTAATGGCACATAAGAGGAAAAGCACACCTTAACTCTTCTAGCAAGGCGAGATAAGAGCAAGACAGTCTTTCAGCACCAGTCTGGTTGCCACGGTAACAGCTTAGATTTTGGGTGGCGGTAAGGAGCATGCTGAGTCGGTGTTTTTATGTAACGGGAGCCTGAACCCATCCAGTCTGCCTGGCCACCAACTCGGAGCTCTTCGACCATCAGATTATACAGAAGAAGACATTTTAAATAAGAAGAAATGCTAATGAGAACACTCTTTCTTCAAATCAACAAAATTATCGGAAAATATTGCTGCCCAAACCCAACACATGGCTGATTTTATCCAAGCCTGACAAACAATTCAAATTAAAACAGCACATTGATTTGTCCTCACAAATCCACATTTATGACCTGTAAGAAGTTCAATGCAAAGGGTGTGTTTCCCTAATCTTTGCAGAGAGTTTTAATCTAGTGTCGCAGCTGTTTCTTGATTTAATGATTGGCAAAAATGTACAATCTAGATAATCCAATTTAAATCCATTTTGAAGCAAAAGAACCAAATGTTCTCTGCTTGCATCTTTTTAAATGTGCAGATTGGATGTTTGCCTTACTGACTTGTCTTTGGGCTTTGCTGATAAACAACGAGCAAGTGGGAATTCACTATAGATATTTTTTAATTTTAGTGCCAAAATGAAGTCATAAAAACTGATGGATTATTTCTAATGGTAGTTTTTAACACTACAAGACCATAAGGAGTACTAATGACTTTTTTGTACAAAAAATACCAGGAAATTAAAGTTACATTTCTTGTCCAATTAATCGTTTGGGAAACTAACAGTGGTCTAAAACCACTTGTGAATTTGCGTTCAAAAGAGCAACACAATTGGATTATAGATCATCATCAATGGGGAACTTAAGGCTGGGGAATCAAAACATGAGGCGTCATATCCATAAAAAACGTTTAACAGGGAAACTGAAAAGCCCAGAGCAGCAGTTTGGAGAACCTGCACGACCAGCACTCACCACAGCACCCTATTTGGGAAGTATTAGGAGCCAAAAGTCTCCCCACAGCTTTTAGATGTTGACGCTTTCCTCCTGGAGAGGCTTCAGCTTCTGTGGAGTCAATAGCAGGCATTCCATATTTCTTTAAACGTATTCAGGTCAGAGGGCTGTAAATGGCCACTCAGAGGTGTGGGTGGATTTCGAGGTGTTGATTGGATCTTTGAAATGTTTTATAGGCTTTTCTTCTCTCCATCATCACCTTTTGACGGATAATTTGGCACTCGGTTGCAGAGCTTCTGGTGTTTGATTTGATCTTTTCTGTCTCCACTGGTGAAATGTTTCTGATGCTCCATCCAGCCAGTCGCCTCGTTAACAGTCAGATAGGAGGTCCAGACAAAGTGTTTCTCCCTTTTTTTCAGAAGCCAGACATTTCTCCTCCACCTTCACAGTCAGGGGGGCTGCTTTCTGAACTCCATTACGGTTTATGAAGACTAACTTTTAAACTTTAAACTAATGCTTAATTTTGTGGTAAATATGCATCAGGGGTTTACTTTGAATGCCCTTACAGTGCAGCATCACTCTGTGGTCTGAACAGGATTCCCTGCTGGGCCTTCTGCAGTCAAACAGTGGCTGTGATTCACTTTACTACAGTCACCTCAGAAAGCAAGCTCGGTCCCAAAGGTCTCCGCTTGACCCCCACAGTGCCAGCAAACTGCCATTTCTAAATTACGTGACAAATGGAGGAAACAGCAAACTGAGTTCTTACAGGCTTTTCTTTCTCGGTGGGCAGCTGTTGCCTTACATGTCATACATGGAAAGGAGCCCGTAGCTGCTGACCTCTGAGGCAAAACGAAAGATTTCTAACACATGGCTTTTCATAATGACGACCTTTACAGCGGCTCCAACAAGCTGATTAAGGTCTGGGAACATAATTTGAGATAAGAATTTCTTTTCTCAAAAAATTTGTGCATGGTAGTCATTTTTCTTTCACACTTTGTGATCGCCTAAAAAAAAAAAAAAGAAAAGACAAGGAAAAAACAAAGTTACAGATAAAAAGCCTCGTGTTGTGACACAATCCGCTGCTCAAAAACAAGATTTACGGCCGTCACAAAGAGTCTTCCACACAGCTGATGTTGTGTAACTATCTCATCGTGACACATGTGACAGCAGGTCATGTGTTGCAGCTGGCAGGCGCGATGGAGCTCGCACTATTCAGTCCACCAGTGAGAGCCTGCTGGGTGTAATGGGTGTACTGGTTGTGTGTGTGTGGAGTGCAGATGGAGCAGCAGCAGAGCTCAGCACTGCGGAATTCCCCACCAGCTAAGACAATCTATTTATAGCACACACACACACTCGGTGTGCATAGGCCCAGGAGTGCTTCACACATGCACACACATAAACTTTTGAGTATTCGAGCGCAGAAATGAACGAGCCATGCGTCAGCACAGGTACCCGCACAGGCGTCCCTTTCCAAGATCCAGGCGAGTACACACTTAAAAACGCACACATGGATCAGTGTGGACGACAAACATGGCTGAGTGCTCACATGTCAGATTTATGGAGCATGTGCAGCTGCCGTGGGACAAAATATTGGTCTGTAGGTCAAACATGTACAGTAGCGAAACCTCGTTTGAGGCTTCCCGCTGACGCACACCATTAGGACAACGACAAAAAACACACAGACACACAAGCAGTTCAGGGCCAGTTCGACACATCCGAGGGTATGATGTCATGTGTCATTGTGTGGGAGGTGATGCTGCTTTTGTATTGTCAACCCTACCTGAGAAGAAGCTCTTTGGGGAGCTTCTTGTTGATGGGGGCCTCATCACTGTTTGAGAACACCTGCCGAGACACGAGACAGAAATGATGGCTGTGTGATGAATGCGGGAGTTGGACGATCTTATGAAATAGGAACGCTACATCAAAAAAGACGAAGACCAAACCAAAATGTAGGAATCGCATCATTTTATGTCAGCAGCTCATGCATGAACACAATAAGGAAGTCACCCTTGGCATATATTTACTATTCAGAACCCAGCTAGCCTTCCCTTAGTTCTCCTCACAAACACACCATGGCTACATTTGGTGCTCTGTGTTCCCTTCTTACAAGCTTATAATTCGGTCAGCTTGTGGCCATGCTTATCTCAATTAGTCTACTCGCTGGATGTCTGGCCATCTGCTGGGTGAAATGCACACGCAGATGCACCTTTACACGCTGGCAGGTGAATGGAGTCGGACTCTCTGGGAGGAAAACAGAGGCAGAACGTTCTCGATCAGGTGGGCTGTGCTCAGCCATGAATATAAATTACAGCAAACACCCACTTTCACTGTGCCTCTGCAGACTCGCATCCTGCCAGTGATACACTTGTATCCTAAAACACCAGCAAGTCTATGTAATGGCAGGGACTTCCTGCTGTGTCACATGCAAACTGAAAATGTGCAAATACAGAGGCAGAGCCAGGAAGGCACCGTGTACTAAGTGGCTGATCCTGAAAGCAGATGCAACCTCCTCAAAATAGAAAACAGTGAAGGAGAGAAAAAAAAAAAGGACCAAAGGGGAAGCAGCAGACAAAAAGTCAAATGCTAAGTCACACTGAAGTGGAGACGAACTGAAGATGCAAGTATTGGTGTGAGGCAGGAAAAAAACTAACAGGGTAATTGGGAAGAAATGGGGTCAAAAAGACAAAAGAGAGAGAGGCGTCCAGTCAAGGTCCAGTGAAATATTAACTTAGAGGGTTTGAAATTTAACATATCTGCTATGCAAGCAAGCAGGAGTCAAAGAGGCCTTAAAAGATAATCTTCATTAACTGTACCCACTGTAGAATAAAGTGGGTACATTTCTGTTTTATCTAATAATGTGTTATCATATTGTCTATATATATATATACACACAAACATGTGAAAATATATATATAGAGAGGTAGACATTAAAAGGCTAAGTTATGCCATCTTATATACAGTAAATATTCAGACTCTTTGTTATCTTATTCTGCTTTGGCACATTTGAATCCTGTCTGTGGGACTTCGGATGTTTCTGCTTTTGTCCACTTATGCTTACGTGTATTCAATCTACATAAGAAGGCACACTTTGTTTTTCACAGGGAGAGAATTAGTTTGTGGAACAAACCTGGCACAAAAACGCCAAAAAAGAAAGGGGACTGAGTTCGTAAGTCAACAGACTTCTTAAATCAGTCTGCCAAACTAAATAGTCATGTATGAAGGGTCTTGGTCAATCAAGAAACCAACAGGCTGCCAGGATGACATCAGGAGTAACCTTGGTGGAAATGTAAGGAAGACACTCCACCAAACGGGGCGGTGTGGCTCTGTGGCCAGAGAGAAACATTCCCTGATTAAAAGGCGCATGACAGCCTGCTGTGAATCTGCCAAAAGGCTCCCAAACAACTCCAGCTTGGCAGTATCATGCTGTGGAGACGAGAGATGAAGAGGCTAGTGATGACTGCAGGAAACACAGTAATAGAACAGTATCAGTAACTATTTCCAAAGTCCAGAGATGCCAGGTGAGGGCAAAGGTCTACATTTCAACAAGTAATGCTAGTTTTTATTTTTTCAAAAGTCCAGTGGAAACACAACGATATTTTAGAGCTGAACACACTGGATGTATTTTAGGATTAGACTTAGATATGGAGAAATGTGGAAAAATTAAATGGTCTGTAAACTCCCTTTAATGATATTACAGACCAAAAAGAAGGAGAACTTGAAGTTCCTCACTAAAACCAAAACAAAAAAATAAGTGGTTTGGGATTTTCCGATAATTTAGACTTAATTCTAAACCACCCAGGCAAACATCTTTGAACTTTGACCTCTCAAACTCAAATCCCCAGCATAAATTCAGACTGGTATGCATTTTACCAATTTTGGAAAAACCTTTTCATTTCATTTGAGCTTGAACCACCATAAAAGAAAAAAGGATTTTTACTCTAAGGCTGTTCAAAAGACTATTTATGGGTTACCAGGATAAGCGATGCATTAGTTTATCCACATATATTCAATCATCATAAAACTAGATTTTCCAGTCAAGTGTCACTGAAATAATTATGAAGACAAGTTACCAGGTTCAAGACTTTCAAGAAAGATCAGCTCTTAAATGATCACATCAGCATAAACCAGCATACCAGTAGCCTTATTCACAGGGACAAGCAAAGAGCACCTGTCTGCAGTCTGACTTCCTGGAAGGTTTCTGGAAAGAGTGCAACAGAGATGGCGTTGAAATCTGTTTCCAAACCACATTAAAGCAACAATGCTAAAAATATTGGACCTGATTCATGGAGTGCATTAAAACTTGATCCCTTTAATACCACCACAAAGGGCTGATGCCAGGTCCCAGGTATCCCCTCCATCCACTCACACTGCCCCACCAGCTGGTTTTTTCACCCTACAGTGGTTTTCATGTAGTGTCTAATAAAACATCCAGTGATATAGCAACAACACACATCAACACGACCAACGCCTTTTGTTCTGCTTCAGTGCAACCAAGCATGTGAGCACCCGACTGAGAAAGTCATGTACCATCAAGTCAAACCCCAAAGAATCTCAGAAACGTGAGCATAACATGTCAGGGAGGCGCTGCTCACTGGGACCTGTAACCAGTTAACCAGTTGGACTGGGTGATCAAAGGCATGAGCAAGATACGGGAGAAAAATGCTGTCAGCACAACACTCTTGGCACAGGTGTGATGCATAAATTGAAAGTTTTAGAAAGCAACTGGCAGCAGTGGGGGTTGTTTCTTCAAGGTTCAACATCTATTTTGGGCTACTTGATAGTCTGCATTTTGTATAACTAATGGTTCCTTTTACTTAAACTTATTCAAATTAGTTTGAAGACAAGATATTATTTCAAATAAGGGATCTGTCACATTCCCAGAATGGATTTCTTCTCTCTCTAAGGTTATAGAAATGTGACTTCACAGTTTTTAATAACCTCTCAAGGAACGGACACAATCCTCTGCTTGTTGCTTCAATATTAATATGATGAAACTATACTTTTCCAAGAATCTATGATGTTTGGTTTTTAACCAAGCATTGTGGTTGAAGTCCTCAGATGACACACATACCTGCCTGAGGCAGATCTGAGTCAAACTGGTATCAGGCCCATAGCTGGGATCTTGTTTTTACTTTTACTTATTAATTTTGATAGACCCTTCAAGTGTTTTATGCTAAAAACAAGGGCTATAGGTTTAACTATGGAGCAGGATTTTGGTCTTGGCAGTTCTTGAGGTGTGTTAATGTCTTCGCTTACATAAAGGAATATATGGAAAGGCTGTGTTGTCATAAAGAAGGAAGGCCTACCTGTGGGATCATGAGCACCTGCCAGAGCTGGTGCTCATGATCCCACCCGGGCCACCCGGGCTCTGTGGAGCCCGGAACCCCGGGGGGCAGACGGCCCGGGCCCTGACACACCGACCCCCTCCGGCCACAGCCCCGCAGTCCCCCGGTCCCCGGCTCCGTGTTGTGGCCGCCTGATTTCGGATTAACCCTGACCGGCCAAACGCCTCACGGACAACTAGGAGGAGCGGCAACACGGACACAAACACGCACACAAACACGGACACGGACACACACACGGACACACACACGGACACACACTCCCCGGCGGAGCCCCCGGTTTGGCTGCCCGTCATACCTCGAACCGGCCCTTGGTGATCCCGTTCATGTCTGCGGCGGCGTGCGCGTGCCAGAGCCGTTGGACGAGACAGCCGTTATCGCTTCTGTCGCCGTTTTATTTTTGAATTTTTTCGGTGATTTTTCGGTCGGAGCTGAGCCGTATAGCGGGGCTCTTCACGCCCTCCTCCCCCTCCTCCTCCTCCTCCTGCCCCCAGCCGCCAGCGAGGCTCCGGTCTCCGGGTCCGGGTCGGCGGGGAGGCGGTGGCGAGGGCGGTGTCGGTGTCGGTCCGCGGCGGCCTGCGGTGTCGGAAACGCGGCTGTCTCGGAGAGCAACGGCTCCCCAGCCCGTCTCATCACAGGGCCAACCAAAATAACAATAATAACATGGACGGTCTGTCAAGTGACTTCACTTCCGCCTCTCCCCTCATCGCCACGGCTGGCTCCGGAGCCCCCACGGGCCGTCTGGAAAAAAAAAACACGGAGGAAAACGGAAAATTAACGGCCGTTTTCACGTTTCCGTCGACCGTTCCCTGCATCCACGGCCGTTACGGCGGCGGGCGCGAGCGCTTTCCTCACGATTTTTTTTGTGTGTTTACTTGTAAGGGGGGGGTTGGGGGGGGGGGAGAGAAAGGGGCGGGCCTATGTGACGTCACTGCTGCAGGAAAAGCACGCGTGGTCGATTTGTTTTGATTGTGAGGTCTTGTCAAGATTTGAGGGGAAAAAACACGAAAAGAACCGCAAATACAGAAACGATTACGACGAGAAACGCACCCGTGGAATAAAAACACTCGCGTCTGTGGACGCCACATCCAAGAATCCCCCTCCACGAGAGAAATGCAACTCCCACGTTCACCCTTCCCCGCAGAGACAAACCAAAACAACCTGATCGACTGTCTTTAGAAGATTCTTCTCCCTTTTCCTGCTGTCAGACCATTGAAATACTCTCATGATTAAACTGGATTAGTCTGCATTTTACATCACTAACACAGATTGAAATATTCATAAAACTATCAATCATAGCGAAGACAATGCTCATATATTAGTGTCCCTGTTCCGTTCAAGGTCGTTTACAAATAAAGAAAATTTGGCAGTGAGCCTGAGACTAAAAGCAGCTCACTGCTCAGAAGCAAACGCTACAGTGGAAAACACTCTTTATTATTAAACCTCTTCTGTACAGCACAGCGAAGAGGTGGGAAGTGTGTTCAGGCAGAGGCTCCCTCAGGTCTGCTGCAGCAAAATCAACCAATCAATCAATAAAACAAAACGGAACACGTCAGTCCAGCTGGCAGCTCAGGATCAATGGGGGAAAAGGACAACATTTCTATAACATTTATACGCTATCAAATTCCTACATTTGCTCAAATCGTCTGAATTTGATCGGCATTGCAGGCTTGCAGATATTGCTGCAGACCGACTAAACCGGATTTCTTTATCAAGAAGAAAAATATCTCTGCAGGTGTTCTGCTTCTCTACAGCTGGAGGGCGCTGTCATGCAGCCAGTCGCATCTCTGCTGGGAGAAAATCCTGATGCTGGCTCTGTGCATGTGCATACAGTCGTGGAAAATAGACACGTCTTAAACGTGTAAAACAAGATTGTGAGTTCAAGAGGGAAAACTGTTTATGTTCATTTAACGTCTATACAGCAGGGCTCCACAGAACAGAGCTCTTTCTGGAGCTACATAATGTCATCTTGGTCCATAACCAGCACACAGTATACTACCTGCAAAGAACAATTAGCCACAAAATTAAAGAAGGGGGTTCATTGTCTCAATTGGCTGCACTTGTGACGGACATTTTATTATTACCTGCACACCTCGTGAGGCCACTGTCTGTGCTGCTCATTGGCTGGTGGCTGTTCATCACAGGGCCACACGGAGACATTTCTAGGGGCAGTACCCTAATATGCATGTTTTAGGAGTAGAAAATGTTGGAGAACATGGAGAGAATCCAACATGCAAACTCCACTCAGAAAGGGCCCCTGGGGCTTTGAACCCTCTGCTGAGATGCTAACCACCACACCACCTGCTCGGTTATTGATATAATGTACTTCATTTGTGGCTCATTTGTGCCTTGCTTAAACATAGATTTAAACTTCAGATCATCTATTAATGTAAATCAAATAATGAATTCATTTGACAATAATGGGATCAAATCTACCGATGTATTAAAAAGATGAACAAACATGGACAGAAAACAAGCATAACAGGGTCAAAACTCTCATCATATAACACACATGGAGAGCAAAAGCCACATGAAACAAAACAAAAAGAGATGGACACCGATAATGAGACATCATTTGACTTGAATGTTTAGATAAACTGGCTATTATTGGATACAAATAATACATCACAATAAACTGATACAGAGCAACCAAAAATATAATAATAAAAACAAACAAGAGGAAATTTATAATGATAAAAATGCAACATGTTGATGGATACGGGTGCAAAAATGAAAATATACAGTTGGAGACACAGCACAGTCTTTTTATTTGTGCCAGTCTGAGTAGTTTAACCCTCAGTGAGCAGGCGAATGGCCTTTTACAGGGTACACTCTTTACAGTTTGTGCAAAATATTTCGTCTTTATTCCTCATGCAGCACATCCTGAAGCCTCCCCGTCCCTCTGCATCGCCTGGTAATTAACAGTCTCTCATCAACAGGCAAATTAATTAACTCTATTCTTCGCACAGTGCTCCCCGGGACTCGGCTGTGGATGGCAGCTCGGTGTTGAATGTGTCCTGACGGTCGCAGTGCGTGAAACAACGTCAAACGGGGCTGACTGTGACACTCACCGGTTTTCTATGGACTCTGTCAAATTGCTGGAGAGTGTTTATGTTGCATGTGGATGAAGTCACAAGTGGGAGGAATTCCTTTGTGATCAATCAGTACTTTCTGCCTCACCGGTTTTGCATTTTCTTGGTAAACTTTTCCGTTTTCCCCGATTGCTTTTTATGGCCTTATCTTTTATTTGGCTGAACACCTTGTTTTTCCTTAAGCCCTTTGAAGATAATCAAATAAAGACGGTTTGCTGGTTAAAAAGCAGGTTGAATTCCAATGTAATCTTCGAAGTAAACAATTCCCCTAAAAGCCTTTCCGCGAAAAGTGGTTTTCACTAAACTAAAAATAGGGATTTTGTCCTTGGCAGAGCATGAAAAGACATTTATAGATGCATGATTTTTACATGAGAGTGATACACACAAATGTCCTTCTGCAGGCTCCCCTCTCAGCTCCGAACCCTGTTCCTGTTTGTCCGGACCGAACCGTCACGCTGTGGCTTTTGGAGGCTGTTACCATGGAGACAATGCCATACTTCTCTCAGGCCTCCATCGCGGTGAGCAGTGGTTTCCTCTGAGTCAGCCACACACACCTGCAGAGCTCATCCCGACAGGATGTCTCACATGGGACGCCGTCCGTCTCACACGTGTGTCTCACAGGTCTGGGTGTGCATGTGTGTGTTTTTTTCCACAACACGGATTATTAAACGGGGCGCGTACTGGAAGTCCTGTGAGATTGTCGCACACATGTGCGATGTCTGGATGTGGGTCCGTCCACTGACTGAGCCCCCGGACACCTGCAGCAAACATAATTCTCACCGGCCTCTCCGGGGATCAGGTGTGAATTGTCGTCTCTCTCCTCTTCGCCATTTGTCTCTTTTCTCCTGTGCGACCCCCCCCCCCCCCCCCCCTGCCCCAAAAAGTCCCGGTGCATGAGTCAGGATCCCCGCCCACCGGATCTCCACATCCAGATTCACCGAGGAGGCCATCCATGAAAAGCACAAGTGGTGCATGAGGACAGGGTGAAGGAATGTGACAGAGAAACACAAAGAAGGGCGACCGGCGAGTGGACTGGAAGAGTCCAAGTGACTCCAACGGGAGACCGGAAAGACTGAGAACTATGAAAATGGAAAAGAGGGGATGTGAAAGGAGGGAAGTGTGACTCTTCAGGAGAGGTGTCAGTCCTGGAGGAGTTTACAAAGCCTGTTCAAACTTTCATTTCCACTGTTTTCCGTCAAATCAAAAAGTGTTTTCCGGCATGTGGCGCAAACATGCTCATATGATGCAGTTACTCATTTCACACGATTACAAAAGCAGCTTTAGAAAATGTGCGAGGCCATTTTTGCTCCTTTCAAAAAGGTCTGTCAGACACAGCTGCAATATAATCTGACTCTGATAAGAGGAAACACATGATAAGATATTTAGTGTAAGGTTTTTAGTAAAATCTAAATTTTCCTTGGTTTAAATGTACAATTCTGGAAGTAGGAGACAACAGACCCTACAGATAAACAATAAACAGTCAACAACATCAGATGACAAATCCACCATAATAACAATAACTAGTTGCAGTCTTGTATAAAAATGTAGAAATATAGTTCCATCCCAGGTTGTTACACAAGATAATTTCATTTATTTGTAAAAGCAGCTGGACTTTTCACTTTCTAAGACTATTTAACAGCATAGCCTTAATTTTTGTCAAATAATTTACATTCATTCATTCATTCATTCATTCATTCATTTATTCGGTCATTCATTCAATTTGTTTTAATGATTAAATTAAAAATGTAACTGCCCGGTGTGACAGTATAATTCAGTGATGGTATCACTTTGTTTAGTAACACCAACCAACTTTTAAATAGTTTTTTGAGGAGTATGTATGTATGTATGTATGTATGTATGTATGTATGTATGTATGTATGTATGTATGTATGTATGTATGTATGTATGTATGTATGTATGTATGTATGTATGTATGTATGTATGTATGTATGTATGTATGTATGTATGTATG